GACATAGATAAATTATCCAGGATAACCCCCCAAGAAAGTCAATGATTTATTTCCATTGGGGTCCTTGTATAATAATTGTAGTTATGTGCAGCTGTATCTAAATAAACTTACTAAGTTAGTGTATTATTTAGATTATTATTATTATTATTATAATCAAGGGGGAAGCGCTAAACCCCGAGGATTATACAGCGCCGGGGGGGGGATGTGGAAGGTATTCAGGCTTAATTCGGGGAACTGGAGCACAGATCCAATTCCCTAAATCAAGAGCCCCTCACCAACATCAAGGAACGTTCCCTGAGGGGTGTATTATTTAGAGATGCGATATATAAGAGATGGTCGCCTGGTGATGCTCAACCTCTGCCACCATGACCTACGTGGATATTATCAACTACATTTATATTTACAAACACACTATTTTCAACTCTTACTGAGCAAAACTAATAATTAATATTTAAGAATCACGAATTACCAGTTAGATGGACATAATTATCCTCCTAAATATTTGTTGTATTGTGAATGTGGCAGCTGGTTTGTTTTTGAGAGAAATTAAGGAGGTGAGAGTGAGGCAGCAGTGCCTCTCTCACTCTCTCTTATTCTGCCTCTCTACTGCCTCACTCACACCACCACCATGGAGAAGAACACTCTTAGAGATAAACTAGATGGCAATGAGCTGGACCTCAGCATGATGAGCCTCACTGAAGTGCCAGTTAAAGAAATTGTAAGTTTCTAAAGGACCCCAATGGAAATAAGTCACTTAGACTTTTTTGGTGGGTTATCCTATGTAATTTACACATATGTTACTATGTATGATAATTGGTGTGACTATTTATATATGCCTGTACCTGAATAAACTTATTAAACTTGCTCTTAATACTTCGAGTCAAGTGACCTCGATGATAGGGAAACTTTTATTAAAGATGAGTTGACAGTTGCTGGTGCTGATGTATTTATGTTATGTACCTATTGATACTGTATTTTGACAGGTGGTGTGGCTGGGGGGGGAGGGTAATGTATTTTGACAGGTGGTGTGGCTGGGGGGGAGGGTAATGTATTTTGACAGGTGGTGTGGCTGGGGGGGAGGGTAATGTATTTTGACAGGTGGTGGTTGACAGGTGCTGCTCCCCACTGCACTTGACAGGTTGTATAAATACTTTTATTTAGGTACAGGTACACATAAATACATAGCAGCATGTGTGTATATTATCTAGGATAACCTGAAACTTGGGCAAAGTGATTTATTTCCATTCAGGTCCTTGTATTTTGTAACTTTTTCTGGTTCTTGTATTTTGTAACTTCTGGTCCTCTTATTTTGTAACTTTTCTGATCCTCATATTTTCTAACCTTTCTGGTCCTTGTAAATATTTGTAACTTTGCCCTTGTATTTTGTAATTTTTGTGTCATCGTATTTTGTAACTTTTCTGATCCTCGTATTTTATAACTTTTCCATCTCATTTGCAGAAAATGTAAATTATTCTCAGATTTATTGATTAGTAGACATCCATGCAGAGAAGTAATTTATACATATGTTAAATTATGTATGATAATTGTACTTATGTACCTGTAACTATATAAACTTACTTTACATGAATGTGAAATTGAATCCTGTTTTAACATTTACACATGAAGGATTGTCAGCTTTTCTGTGTATGATGTAAGGCAGCAGGGAAATGTTATAAACGTCTTTTATTGGGTATTTATATCCAATTTTTATTGAAAACATCAACTAGTCATTTCTTAATGTACTACTTCATTGAGCATTTAAATAAATGTTAGTTATTTTTTTTTTTTTGGCTGTAACATAGTGAAAAGACGTAACCAGCCACTCGCCTCAAGCAGTTTAGTAGTTCTGTGACACGTGTCTAGAACTTCTGGATTCTACCTTTTCTAACAACTAGGCACGTAAAATTTGGTAGCCTGTAACACTTGTTGGACATGAGATTGAGCCTCCACCACTCCACTCGGCAGACGATGCAACATCCCCCCAATGAAAAGCAGGGATGTCACTAGCATGTTAAGAGACAACACAATAAGTGTCAGGGGCCCAAGACTGTTCAATTGCCTCCCAGCATACATGAGCGGGATTACCAATAGACCCCTGGCTGTCTTCAAGCAGGCACTGGACAAGCACCTAAAGTCGGTACCTGACCAGCCGGGCTGTGGCTCATACGTTGGATTGCATGCAGCCAGCAGTAACAGCCTGGTTGATCAGGCCCTGATCCACCATAAGGCCTGGTCACAGACCGGGCCGCGGGGGCGTTGACCCCCGGAACTCTCCAGGTAAACTCCAGGTAACTCCCTGCCCTGAATGATCGATACAGTTACTAATCTTTATGCTGTATAATGCTTCTCCAGAGGATGAAAGGAAGAAGTATAGATTTATGAACTATAGCATCAAGAAATACTCAGGGAAAAGATGCTGGGTATGAGGAGCATAGTTACTGTATTGTATAATACTTAAAAGAAAAATGTACCTGCTTCTTAAGTCTTTGAAATGCAGGAATAGCTAGACTTCCAGGCATTGCAAAACATTAAAACAGGTCTGTTTTTCCCCTCTTCATATGACTGCATGGTAAACTTCTAAACAGTTTACAGTATGTCTACCATTTTAATAATTTAAGTTTTTTTTTCCTCCTAACCAAGGAGGACATTCTCATATTATTCTCCCAGACAGGAGAATAGTGTGAGTCAAGACACACTGTAGTACTACTGTTTGGGATATATGAGAATAGAGCTCGTCTTTCATTTGTACTGTACTGTAATTTAATTATATGATGAAAAAAATTATTGAAGATGGGACACCATGAACATAGCTCTTCTCTTGTATCTATAAAAAAAATCCAATATTTTTTTTATTTTCTCCATAGGCCGCACTGCCAAGAGCCACCAAGATAGATTTGTCCAACAATCAACTTGCATCTTTGCCGCCCTGCTTTGCCCAGTCATTGGGCAATATCACCCACCTAGAGTTGGGGTCTAATAAATTGCAGGAAATACCAGCAAATTTCTTCAAATTGCAGAACTTGAAACATCTTGATCTCTACAACAATCAGGTGTGACAACCAAATTAATCATATTCAAAGACTTGTTGCATACACTTGTCAGGTAGCTAGGAAAATTGCCTTATTTTTCCATCCTCTTGAATCCTTCGTATTGTTGGTAAATAGAGTTTATTCCACTGTCTTCTCACTAATATCAGTGAATTTTGACACAGCTTTCATACCCTTGTCTTATTAATCAAAACTTTGGGAGTTTTAAAGGTTTGACAAAGTACCTTTCTCATTTGAAGTCCAGTAAACTGTTAGTGTTGCAATGACATCATAGAATCTATGTAGTACTATATATATTGTTAGACATGGAAAGGCCTGCAGTATCTGACTGTGATGGATAGCTGTAGCCAAAAGGAAAAAGAAAATAAAGAATGACTGGAGAAAAGTTCTTTTTCCCTAATATCAGAACAATACCAAGGACTGATTGATAACAAGGGAAATAAAAAAAATGCTGTAGACAAAAGTATTTTTTTCTTCTTGTATCTTAATCATTTATAACAGAATGGGTATTACTTTATAACATGATTTGCATTTATTAATACATATATAATTGTGTAATTATGTATACCTGGAATATGATAGAAAATACCTAACTTCTATAAATTGCTTTGTAGCACTGTACATGTAAATAAAAAAAAAAGGATTCCTGAGGAAAATTCGATAAATAAAACTGAGGAAACCCTGAAGTTGGATACTGCAATATATGTACTCTATATACATAAGTAGGGTCTTAAAAGGCTGAGTTGTCATTTTTCATTATTATTCTTGAGTCCTTTTAAAGAGAATTCCCATATCTTTATGGCTTCATTACACCCTATCATCACTAGCCGTTTCTCTAAGTCATTGGAAAAATATGTCTGAATTTAAAACAGTATTAGAGCTAGGAAATTATGACAGAATATTTTACATTTTAACCCTTAACCCTTTCAGGGTCCAAGGCCCAAATCTGGAGTCACGCACCAGTGTCCAAGAATTTTCAAAAAAAAAATTTGTTATTTTTTCTTATGAAATCGTAGAGAATCTTTTTGTGAACGTAATAAAACAAAAAGTACGAAATTTGGTGGAAAATTGACGAAATTATGCTCTCGCGAATTTTGATGTGTCAGCGACATTTACGAATCGGCGATTTTGCCGACTTTGACTCCCATTTTAGGCCAATTACATTATTCCAGTCAACCAAATTCTTAGCTATTTCACTAGTATTACTTCTATTCTATCGATTGAGCACAAGAAATCGCCAAGTCAACTGTTTCAACTACAAATAAAATGATCGGAAATTGTTAATTTGGCCAATTTAACACAAAGTTCTAAATATTCCAATTTCAAAATAGGGTCCAGAATGAACAATGTAGGCATTCCTGGCACTAAACTAACATTTCCTCTGTTCATTAGTTATGTTTTGAGGCTTTACAAATAAATTCCATTTTGATTTTTTATTCACATAATGAATTTTTATTCACACCAAAAAATAGAAGATTTACTATTATGCAATACTGTAATAATTGTATAAATATCATCACCATATTTGTGAATGTATATTAGACCCACCAGCCGATGTGTATTAGACGTGTGAGGTCGTTTGTTTACTCTTGAATATCGGCAAAAATTTAACATTTCTGCTACTTTGAGCTCAGTTTCAAGCCATTTCCAGTGCTAAAACCAATCAAAATCATCTCTATTTCTGTAATATGTCTTCCATTCTATCAAATGAGACCAAGAAATCGCAAATACAACTATAAAAAACATACGAAAAAACACTGCAAAGTTGCTGTTTTAATCGAAAAATCATGATTTCATTTTTTTTCTCTCATTATACACAGTGTGCTGCAGGATCTGTTTTATGTGGTGCACACATACCACATAGATGTATTCTCTCATATCTAGGCCCAAATGTACCACTCACAGTTTATCAGAGTGAGCTGAGCTCATGGCGTAGATCTACGGTTTGGACCCTGAACATAAAGCCGTAGATCTACGGGACGGACCCTGAAAGGGTTAAACTGTCCAAATGTAAATGTACGTTCAATTTTACACTTTTATGTAAAAAAAAAAAAGTAGATCTACGTTCGGAGCACTACGTGCATGAATGTAGATCTACGTTTGGACATTTTAAGGGTTAAATGTCATTACTTTTTGACATGGAAGAGTGAAGAGAGGATTGATGTGGACTGACTGGGCACAGGTACTTGGACGTGGTTCTTTTGTTGATACTGATGCAGAGTTGTCAGTAATTAATGACTGTATTGGCAGGGGCAGTGCCAGAATTTCTATGCTGGGGAGAGTGGGGTTATGAGACTTGTTTTGAAGCAGTGTTGCTATTATTACTATTTTATTGGAGGCTGAGGTAATTTGGGGGGTGAACCCCCCAAGCCTTCCATGGCATTGCCGCTGTGCATTGGAATACTGAAATACTTATTCAGTAATGAGCCTCTGGAATACGTACTTTACCTTGTAGTACTTTGTAGAGCTAGTCAGAAAAATTATGAGTATAATTGCACTTTCTAAAACTGTCAAACCATCCAGCACTAAACATACACTGTTGTAAAGGTTAACATTTCTTGCACAGGATAAAACTTCATGGTTTATTATTTAGCACTAGTAGGAGGGCCCTTCTCCCCCCCATCCACACACTATGCATTCATTAAGTTTCCATCACGTGTGCACCACCCCTAACAATATCTAACGTTTCAATTTTCTTCAGCAAAGTCATAGATTCATGCTTATTCTCCTTATAACTTCAAGCCTAGCTAGTATTCCTCTTGAGGGTTAAGATCAATATCTCAAGACCAGATAGTGATGAAAATATCCACAATAACTTGATCAGAGTGAGGAACAAGACTGTCAGAATTCAGCTGTAAGTGCTGTGGGTTGTTCACTGGATGGAAAGAGATCATCTCCAAATTTTGTACTTTACTGTGCATATCAGTATTTTTATTCACCTAAAAGTTTGGTTGCAATTTTTTAGTTGGATTGCAACAAAAATTGTGTGATGTGAAGTCGTGGTATAAGAGGGTTTGTTTATTTCTCTGTTATGGGTCCTAATATATGGGTCATACAGTGTTAAGGGTGCAGTTTATGCAAGGACAGTTTGTAAATGAATAAAAGAATCTTCCATAGATTCCTGTTCACTGTTTAGGAGTAAAGTAGTCAGGTGTACACACCCAATTTTGTGATTGTTTAATCTATTAACCCTTTCAGGGTCCAGAGGCCAAATTTCAAAGTGTGCACCAGTGTCCAAGAATTTTAAAAAAATAATTTTGTTATTTTTTCTTTTGAAATGGTAGAGAATCTTTTTCTGAAGGTAATAAAGCAAAAAGTTTGAAATTTGTTGGAAAATTTATGAAATTATGCTCTTGCGAATTTTGATGTCTGCGATATTTACGCATTGGCGATTTTGCCAATTTTGACTCCCATTTTAGGCCAATTACATTATTCCAGTCGACCAAATTCTTAGCTATTTCACTAGTATTATTTCTATTCTATCGATTGAGCACAAGAAATTGCCAGGTCAACTGTTTCAACTACAAAATAAAGTGATCGGAAATTGGTAATTTGGCCAGTTTAATGCAAAGTTCAAAATATTCCAATTTCAAAATAGAGTCCAGAATAAACAATGCAGACATTCCTCTGTTCATTAGTTACGTTTTCAGGCTTTACAAATGAATTCCATTTTGATTTTTTATTCACATAATGAATTTTTATTGGAGTTAGAGTGGTTGCTATTTTTGTTTAATAAATGTATGAAAGAGGGGAAGGTACCTAGGGATTGGCAGAGAGCATGTATAATTCCTTTATATAAAGGGAAGGGGGACAAAAGAGATTGTAAAAATTAAAGAGGAATAAGTTTACTGAGTATACCAGGAAAAGTGTATGGTGGGGTTATTATTAAAAGAATTAGAGGCAAGACAGAATGTAAGATTGCAGATGAGCAAGGAGGTTGTAGAGTGGGTAGGGGATGTGTAGATCAAGTGTTTACATTGAAGCATATATGTGAACAGTATTTAGATGAAGGTAGGGAAGTTTTCATTGCATTTATGGATTTAGAAAAGGCATATGATAGAGTGGATAGGGTAGCAATGTGGCAGATGTTGCAAGTATATGGAATAGATAGTAAGTTACTAAATGCTGTAAAGAGTTTTTATGAGGATAGTGAGGCTCAGGTTAGGGTGTGTAGAAGATAGGGAGACTACTTCCTGGTAAAGATGGGTCTTAGACAGGGATGTGTAATGTCACCATGGTCATTTAATATATTTATAGATGGGGTTGTAAAAGAAGTAAATGCTAGAGTGTTGGGGAGAGGGGTGGGATTAAATTATGGGGTATCAAATACAAAATGGGAATTGACACAGTTACTTTTTGCTGATACTGTGCTTATGGGAGATTCTAAAGAAAAGTTGCAAAGTTTGGTGGATGAGTTTGGGAGAGTGTGTAAAAGTAGAAAGTTGAAAGTGAACATAGAAAAGAGTAAGGTGATGAGGGTATCAAATGATTAGATAAAGAAAAATTGGATATCCCAAAATTTGGGGAGGAGGAGTATGGAAGAAGTGAATGTTTTCAGATATTTGGGAGTTGAGTGTCCCGCGGATGGATGTATGAAGGATGAGGTTAAACCATAGAATTGATGAAAGGGAAAAAAAGGGGGGTGTACATTGAGGTATAAGTGGAGACAAAAAACATTATCTATGGAGGCAAAGAAGGGAATGTATGAAAGTAAATGGTACCAACACTCTTTATAGGGGGTGAAGCTTGGGTTGTAATTGCTGCAGCAAGGAGGCGGTTGGAGGCAGTGGAGAATGTCCTGTCCCAAGGGTAGTGTTTTGGTGTTAATATTATGCAGAGAATTCGGAGTGTGGAAATTAGGAGTGTGGAGTTAATAAAAGTATTAGTCAAGGGCTGAAGAGGGGTTGTTGAGGGGGGTTTGGTCATTTTGAGAGAATGCTCAAAAGGTAGAATGACATGGAGAGCGTATAAATCTGTAGGGGAAGGAAGGCTGGGTAGGGGTCATCCTCGAAAAGATTGGAGGGAGGGGGTAAAGGAGGTTTTGTGGGCGAGGGGCTTGGACTTCCAGCAAGCATGCCTGAGCGTGTTAGATAGGAGTGAATGGAGACGAATGGTATTTGGGACCTGACAAGCTGTTGGAGTGTGAGCAGGGTAATATTTAGTGAAGGGATCCAGGGAAACCGGTTATTTTTATATAGCCGGACTTGAGTACTGGAAATGGGAAGTACAGTGCCTGCACTTTAAAGGAGGGGGCTTGGGATATTGGCAGTTTGGAGGGATACGTTGTGTATTTTTATACGTTTATGCTTCTAAACTTTTTTTTCTGGGCACCTCTGCAAAAACAGTGATTATGTATGAGTGAGGTGAAAGTGTTGAATGATGATGAAAGTATTTTCTTTTTGGGGATTTTCTTTCTTTTTGGGTCACCCTGCCTTGGTGGGAGACGGCCAACTTGTTAAAAAAAAAAAAATGGTATTTTATGACAAACAAGACGCTTGTGTCAAGGATGCTCGCCCCTAAATTTTGTATGCACTCCTTAGTTATGATGTTTATTTAGGCAGTAAGATAGCAAATGCCCACACCATACATAGATTTAAAAGTAGATATGACAAAAAAATTTTCAAATCAGGTAGTTATGAAAGTTACGAAGTAGGGCCAAGTGTTTAAGTATGCCATTCATAGCTCAAATTAGTTCCTATTGCTTAGGTAATTACATATACATGTATGGTTTAAATTTGTGATTTTCAGGTTTTTTTCTGTCACTTTATGACTGCATTATTGTAAGTGCAGTATATTTCTTTTGTGCTTTTTTCTTTGTTGCTATTGCTGCATTATTATAAGGGCAATATTTCTTTTATTAGTTGACAGATTTGCCTTTGTCTTTCTGTCAACTGCGTAGTCTGAAGTGGCTGGACCTGAAAGGCAATCCTCTGAATCCCTCCCTGAGAAAGATAGCTGGTGACTGTCTAAACCAGAAGGAATGTGAAGCTGCAGCACGCAACATTATTGCACATCTCAAAAAGCTACAAACGCAAATGGAGACTGAAAAACAGGAGAAACTAAAAAAAGAAAAAGGTGAGAGTTCTATGAAATCTGTTAACCATTTCACTGTTTAGAATCACAAAATTAAAATTAATATTGCTGTGTCAACTTTTTTTTTTTTAAATTTCCTCTGAAAAGGTAGAGAATTTTCTTAGGGTAATGACACCAAAAGTATGAAATTTAATGGAAAACCTGTGGAATTATCCAGGTAAAAAAAGTTAACAGTCAGGGTGCAGTTTACACATTGGCACTTTCACCCACTTGTAGTTCTATTTTAAACCAATTCTTTTGCTCCTTTTGACCAAATTTTTAGCCGTTTTGCTAGTATGTCTTCTGTTCTATCGATTGATCACAAGAAATTGCCCATTCAGCTACTACAGCTACCCTACAAAATGCACAAAATTCAGTAACTTGTCCAGTTTTACACAAAAAATGCCAGTTTATAAATAGTCCAAAATAAACATTGTAGACATTCTTGGCACTTTGTTCAGTAATCGTTTTCTCCAGCCTCTCCTCACTTAACAACGGAGTTCCGTTCCTGAGACTACATCATTAAACGAATTTGTCACTAAGTGAGGAGCATTCTATAATGGTAGTGAGTTTGTGTCGGCCATCTTTGATGCTGTTTAATGTCACCTTTGCACCATTTATAACATTTCTGGTATATTTTTAAATGTTTATACAGTAGTGTACTGTATATTGAAATAAATGGAATAGAGGAAATCAGCACTAATATACAGTGGAACCTCTACTTGCGAGTTTAATCCGTTCCATGACCTTGCTCGCAACTGGATTTACTCGTTTGCAGGGTCAATTTTCCTCATTTAAATTAATTGAAATGCAGTTAATCCGTTACAGTGGAATTCTGTACTTTAATAATTTCGCTAATATCAACTCTACGGCTTATTTATCTATCTCACTTCATCTAATATGACATAATAAACAATATAAATAACAGAGAAACCTGATATATACTCTAAAATGAATAAAATATGTCATTCCTGCCTCGGTGGGAGACGGCCGACTTGTTGAAAAAAAAAAATAAAAAAAAATTCATGTAGTGGTATGGGCGGTGTCGGCAGTGGACGAGAGTTTGTCTGGAGACGGGGCAAAATACTTCAGGAATAATTTAGCTAATATCATCTATATGGCTTATTATCTATCACAGTTCATCTAATATGATATAACAAACAATATAAATAACATAGAAACATGATATATACTCTAGAATGAATAAAATGTCATTATGTAACAGGTGGAGGCAGCCACAACCACTTCCTCTTTGTTGTGGTAAACACTGCCATCTGGTGATGGCCTTTTGAAGCCAGCTATTATAATTATTATATTTAGTACATTATTATTATATATGTACAGTGGACCCCCGCATACCGTTGGCATCACATAACGATTAATCCGCATACCGCTTGCTTTAATCGCAAAAATTTTGCCTCGCATACCGCTTAAAAACCCGCTCACCGCTGTTCGTCCGAGACGCGCCCAATGTGCGCCTTAACCAGCCTCACATGTTCCGCCGGTGGCATTGTTTACCAGCCAGCCTCCGAGGTAGCATCCAAGCATACAATCGTAACATTTCGTATTATTACAGTGTTTTTGGTGATTTTATCTGGAAAATAAGTGACCATGGGCCCCAAGAAAGCTTCTAGTGCCAACCCTACAGCAATAAGGGTGAGAATTACTATAGAGATGAAGAAAAAGATCATTGATAAGTATGAAAGTGGAGTGCGTGTCTCCGAGCTGGCCAGGTTGTATAATAAACCCCAATCAACCATCGCTACTATTGGTGGTACAGCTGCTGCTGCTGCTGCACTGTCAGCTGCTGCTGCTGCTGTAGCATCGTCTGCTGCTGCTGTAGCATCGTCTGCTGCTGCTGCTGCTATAGCATCGTCTGCTGCTGCTGCTGCTGTAGCATCGTCTGCTGCTGCTGTAGCATCGTCTGCTGCTGCTGTAGCATCGTCTGCTGCTGCTGTAGCACTGTCAGCTGCTGCTGCGCTGTGTAGCATCGTCTGCTGCTGCTGCTGCTGTAGCATCATCTGCTGCTGCTGTAGCATCATCTGCTGCTGCTGTAGCATCGTCTGCTGCTGCTGCTGCTGTAGCATCGTCTGCTGCTGCTGCTGCTGTAGCATCGTCTGCTGCTGCTGTAGCATCGTCTGCTGCTGCTGTAGCATCGTCTGCTGCTGCTGTAGCACTGTTGTTGGTGTGGCTTATTGAGAATATACCAAGAAACAATTAACCCCAGAGGATTTGCCACCCAGGATAACCCAAAAAAGTCAGTGTCATCGAAGACTGTCTAACTTATTTCCATTGGGGTCCTTAATCTTGTCTCCCAGGATGCAACCCACACCAGTCGACTAACACCCAGGTGAACAGGGAAAAATGATTGGAACTAGTGCTCATATTGGTGAATTTAAAGCCAGCAAAGGTTGGTTTGAGAGATTTAAGAATCGTAGTGACATACACAGTGTGATAAGGCCTGTTCTGGAAGAAAATACCAAACAGGACCTACAGTACTCAGGAGGAAAAGGCACTCCCAGGACACAGTGTCTCATCAGTCATTGCTGCATCTTCAATAAAGGTAAGTGTCATTTATTCTTCATTTAGTAGACTAGTACATGCACAATATATACTGTGCATGTACTACTCTACTATTGTGCATGTATCCTTCTCTTTGTGTGTAGGAAAATGTATATTTCACGTGGTAAAATTTTTTTTTCATACTTTTGGGTGTCTTGCACGGATTAATTTGATTTCCATTATTTCTTATGGGGAAAATTCATTCGCATACCGATTATTTCGCATACCAATGAGCCCTCTTGCACGGATTAAAATCGGTATGCGGGGGTCCACTGTATTATTATTATACATATTATTATTATTATTATTGTATTATATTATTATACTATTATTATATGTATTATTATTATACATATTATTATTATTATTATTATTTTTTTTTTATCACACTGGCCGATTCCCACCAAGGCAGGGTGGCCCGAAAAAGAAAAACTTTCACCATCATTCACTCCATCACTGTCTTGCCAGAAGGGTGCTTTACACTACAGTTTTTAAACTGCAACATTAACACCCCTCCTTCAGAGTGCAGGCACTGTACTTCCCATCTCCAGGACTCAAGTCCGGCCTGCGGTTTCCCTGAACCCCTTCATAAATGTTACTTTGCTCACACTCCAACAGCACATCAAGTATTAAAAACCATTGTCTCCATTCACTCCTATCAAACACGCTCACGCATGCCTGCTGGAAGTCCAAGCCCCTCGCACAAAAACCTCCTTTACCCCTCCCTCCAACCTTTCCTAGGCCGACCCCTACCCCGCCTTCCTTCCACTACAGACTGATACACTCTTGAAGTTATTCTGTTTCGCTCCATTCTCTATCATGTCTGAACCACCTTAACAACCCTTCCTCAGCCCTCTGGACAACAGTTTTGGTAATCCCACACCTCCTCCTAACTTCCAAACTACGAATTCTCTGCATTATTTCACACCACACATTGCTCTCAGACATGACATCTCCACTGCCTCCAGCCTTCTCCTCGCTGCAAACATTCATCACCCATGCTTCACACCCATATAAGAGCGTTGGTTAAAATATACTCTCATACATTCCCCTCTTTGCCTCCAAGGACAAAGTTCTTTGTCTCCACAGACTCCTAAGTGCACCACTCACCCTTTTCCCCTTATCAATTCTATGATTCACCTCGTCTTTCATAGACCCATCCGCTGACATGTCCACTCCCAAATATCTGAATACATTCACCTCCTCCATACTCTCTCCCTCCAATCTGATATCCAATCTTTCATCACCTAATCTTTTTGTTATCCTCATAACCTTACTCTTTCCTGTATTCACTTTCAATTTTCTTCTTTTGCACACCCTACCAAATTCATCCACCAATCTCTGCAACTTCTCTTCAGAATCTCCCAAGAGCACAGTGTCATCAGCAAAGAGCAGCTGTGACAACTCCCACTTTGTGTGTGATTCTTTATCTTTTAACTCCACGCCGCTTGCCAAGACCCTCGCATTCACTTCTCTTACAACCCCATCTATAAATATATTAAACAACCACGGTGACATCACACATCCCTGTCTAAGGCCCACTTTTACTGGGAAATAATTTCCCTCTTTCCTACACACTCTAACTTGAGCCTCACTATCCTCGTAAAAACTCTTCACTGCTTTCAGTAACCTACCTCCTACACCATACACTTGCAACATCTGCCACATTGCCCCCTATCCACCTGTCATACACCTTTTCCAAATCCATAAATGCCACAAAGACCTCTTTAGCCTTATCTAAATACTGTTCACTTATATGTTTCACTGTAAACACCTGGTCCACACACCCCCTACCTTTCCTAAAGCCTCCTTGTTCATCTGCTATCTATTCTCCGTCTTACTCTTAATTCTTTCAGTAATAACTCTACCATACACTTTGCCAGGTATACTCAACAGACTTATCCCCTATAATTTTTGCACTCTCTTTTATCCCCTTTGCCTTTATACAAAGGAACTATGCATGCTCTCTGCCAATCCCTAGGTACCTTACCCTCTTCCATACATTTATTAAATAATTGCACCAACCACTCCAAAACTATTATCCCCACCTGCTTTTAACATTTCTATCTTTATCCCATCAATCCCGGCTGCCTTACCCCTTTCATTTTACCTACTGCCTCACGAACTTCCCCCACACTCACAACTGGCTCTTCTCACTCCTACAAGATGTTGTTCCTCCTTGCCCTGTACACGAAATCACAGCTTCCCTATCTTCATCAACATTTAACAATTCCTCAAAATATTCCCTCCATCTTTGCAATACCTCTAACTCTCCATTTAATAACTCTCCTCTCCTATTTTTAACTGACAAATCCATTTGTTCTCTAGGCTTTCTTAACTTGTTAATCTCACTCCAAAACTTTTTCTTATTTTCAACAAAATTTGTTGATAACATCTCACCCACTCTCTCATTTGCTCTCTTTTTATATTGCTTCACCACTCTCTTAACCTCTCTCTTTTTCTCCACATACTCTTCCCTCCTTGCATCACTTCTACTTTGTAAAAACTTCTCATATGCTAACTTTTTCTCCCTTACTACTCTCTTCACATCATCATTCCACCAATCGCTCCTCTTCCCTCCCGCACCCACTTTCCTGTAACCACAAACTTCTGCTGAACACTCTAACACTACATTTTTAAACCTACCCCATACCTCTTCGATCCCATTGCCTATGCTCTCATTAGCCCATCTATCCTCCAATAGCTGTTTATATCTTACCCTAACTGCCTCCTCTTTTAGTTTATAAACCTTCACCTCTCTCTTCCCTGATGCTTCTATTCTCCTTGTATCCCATCTACCTTTTACTCTCAGTGTAGCTACAACTAGAAAAGTGATCTGATATATCTGTGGCCCCTCTATAAACATGTACATCCTGAAGTCTACTCAACAGTCTTTTATCTACCAATACATAATCCAACAAACTACTGTCATTTCGCCCTACATCATATCTTGTATACTTATTTATCCTCTTTTTCTTAAAATATGTATTACCTATAACTAAACCCCTTTCCATACAAAGTTCAATCAAAGGGCTCCATTATCATTTACACCTGGCACCCCAAACTTACCTACCACACCCTCTCTAAAAGTTTCTCCTACTTTAGCATTCAGGTCCCCTACCACAATTACTCTCTCACTTGGTTCAAAGGCTCCTATACATTCACTTAACATCTCCCAAATCTCTCTCTCTCTCTCTGCATTCCTCTCTTCTCCAGGTGCATACACGCTTATTATGACCCACTTCTCGCATCCAACCTTTACTTTAATCCACATAATTCTTGAATTTACACATTCATATTCTCTTTTCTCCTTCCATAACTGATCATTTAACATTACTGCTACCCCTTCCTTTGCTCTAACTCTCTCAGATACTCCAGATTTAATCCCATTTATTTCCCCCACCGAAACTCCCCTACCCCCTTCAGCTTTGTTTCGCTTAGGGCCAGGACATCCAACTTCTTTTCATTCATAACATCAGCAATCATCTGTTTCTTGTCATCTGCACTATATCCACGCACATTCAAGCATCCCAGTTTTATAAAGTTTTTCTTCTCTTTATTATTATTATTATTATTATTATTATTATTATTATTATATAAATACTGTAATTTGTAATTTTTATTCACACAAAAAATATTAGATTTACTGTTATTCCTTATTGCCATAGTTGTATAAATAATGTCAACCCATTCACGACTGCATATTGGTATGGACAATTGTTTACTCTGAAACATCCAAGCAATGAACCATTTCTCCTAGGTTGAGCTCTATTTCAAGGTACTTTTCGTCGTGAAAGCAATTAAAATCATATCTATTTCTGTAATATATCTTCCATTCTATCAAATGAGACCAAAAAAAACGAGAATACACCCATAAAAACCATTTGAAATTACCGCTAAGGGGTGGCTAATTGCTGAGAAGTGAACTCCATTATTTATGCTTAGATTGCTTTCATTTTTGGTGTACGTTAAGAAGCATCTTTCCATCATATATTGCCCAAGTTCCAATAAGATTGTCCAACAAACAAATGAGATACAATTCCCGAGATCAAGAGCAAGAGCCCCTCACCAGTGTCGAGGAGATATGCTTGCTTGTGGAAATTTTGCTTGCGTATGGAAGCAAAAAATCGACCCATCAACTGCTCGTATTTGGAAAAACTCGCACATGGACACGCTCTCAAGTAGAGGTTCCACTGTACATTATTTAGGTATGGATACTGGTCAGAGAGCCAGTATTCATACCTAGCCAGGAATGAGTGGTCATGGTTTATGGCATCCCAGTAATTGAATCAAGACCTATTATAAACTAAAACAGACTTGGGGGGGGGGAGAATAGTAGATTGAAATTGGGCTACTTTGAGCCCAGTTTCAAGCTACTTCCAGTCCTGAAACCATCCAAAATCATCTCTATTTCAGCACTATGTTTTTCATTCTGTCAACTGATACCAAGAAGCAGCTACTTAAACCATAAAACCATCCTTGAAAACACTTCAAAGATGCTGTTGTAAACCAGACTCTGTGTCAAGAGTTTTGCTTTTCCCATAGTGCATTGCATGGGGCAAGATTTTTTTTTATGCTCTGCACACTCGCTGCAGGTGTCGAGTACAATTAAGAAAATGATTTCTGTTTCTATGCATTAGCTAGAATTCTTGTAGGCAGCTGGAGAACTCATTTTATGGCACTAGTATTTTCTGGTGCCCACAAAATTAATTTTTCAGATTTTTATACCTTGTATAAAGCATTCTGTTTTAAAGTTACTATATATAAAATTTGATAAACTCATGTAGTACTGGAATGCAGGGAAGTGAGTTTCACTTTGATATACTCTCTACTTAAAGGGTTAATTAAATTAAAGAATAGATTCTAAAAGATAGCTAGACTTTATTCCTAGAGATGGGGAGTACAGTGCCTCCACTCTGAAGGAGGGTTGGGGATGTTGATGTGTTTAAGGTCATTTTAATAGCAGTGTCTGCTCACTTCTGGAAAGAGTTATTGAATGATTGATGGTGTTTTTTAGTTACCCTACTTTGGTGGGAGATTGCTGGTGTGTTAACAGTTATAGTAGATATTACATTCATGGGGGAGTGCTCAACCCATAGGGGTCATATAGTGCCTCAGGTAATGGGAGGCATTCAGCTTCAACCCAAGGAAGGACAGGTGAAAATAGCTTGTTTCATAGAAAGGACACACTTTCAGAGCTAGCAAAAATTTGGAAGATGTCAAAAAATGAGCTAGAAAAGCCAAGCAAAGCCTTCATTTCATTATTGTATAGAGTACAATGCAGTGTTTTCTACATATTTGCAGATTTCAATTATCTATTATTTGTACTGATGGGCTACCAGGAAAAAGATTAAATTTTATAACATTTTTCTGGCTGAGTGGCTTTCCCACACTCAGGAGGTTTCTGGTTGCAGACTTCTAGAACTTAATACCCACATCCCCCACCTGCCTAGGATTTTTTTAGGGAAGACTGTACCTGTAAAGTTGCCACAGGTGAGTGCAATCCTTGAACCCATCTGTAGGCTATCAGCAATCCTCTATTATCTCGTGTATTGCAGCTTGGGAGCAGAGCTTTGAATGTAAAATACTCATCACTAAAGTATGTTGCCTCCTAAAATCACAATGCAGAATAGGTTATTGTGTTTTAGGACAGCTTTCAACTGTCAGTATATTATTGACATTCTTGACATGGATGGCATCCTAAAGCCATGGGAGTGGGCCAGTATCCTTCCTCTAGGAGATCTCTCTATTGCAGCCCTGGGTTTCACATCTGGGGAGTTTCTTGGCCACTCATTGAAGGATGCTTCAGTCATGAGGTCTATGAACAACAGATTTTGTGATATGCCAAGGAGCACTGTTTTGCATAAAAACCTTGCACCACGCTGAGTGAAAGATTCAGGCATGTGATGTGACTATTTTTAGGTATATTATCACAGTGGGAACATTTTTCTAGGCTTCCCTGGATGTGCTTTTGGTGTGGGCATGTCATGGACACTGCTCAAGGAACCGATGCAACCAGATCTTCGCTAGATGCTTACACACATCACTGGTTTTTACAGTTTCCTTCATTTGATAGTCTGTTTTATGTAATCCATTGGTCTCTTGTGTTAGCGACTTACTCCTGCCCACATTTCATCAGTAGCTAAAAATGTTTAATAAATTCTGTAGGGGACCATGGACACAAAACTGTCCACCACATCCAGCCCAGAAGGTACTTATGATGTAGACGGTAGCCATGGGGAATCTTGAGATGTCCCATTTTAAGTTCCCAGACCAGTATAACTTTTTGTCCCATCAACTGATGTACCAGGGTAGGATATTTCTTTGGACATTAAATTATGTTGGGCACCTTTCATCCATCATACTTTAATGACAGGCACTGTAGATAGAGATGTTGGGGATCAGAGAGAGATTTGAATTGTGATGTGCACACACTTCTGGCAACACAACTATCGAATAAGTGATGATGAATGAGTTATCTTTGGATCACCATACATCATCTTTCTAAAGTTGGCATATGGTAAACACAATAAATGATTCTGTACTAGATATATTTATCATTTCTGAAGTACCAGATACAGAGTAATAAATAAAAAAATGTTAAGTACAATGTGTGTGTTTCAGTAATTTTCTTATATATGTTCACAGAAAAGGCAGAAGCTCTAGCAAGAGTAGAGGAGGAAAAGCTTGCTAAAAAGAGGGCAGAAAAGAAAGCTGCCAGAGAAAAGAGAAAAGCAGAGCAGCGAGCTCAGCAAGAATCTCAAAAGATGGCCGTGAATGGGTCAGCAGGCACAGAGAAACAGTACAACGCAGTGCCTAAGCCTGCTCCACCTGCACTCAAACATAAGAAAACTAAATCAGGTATGTACAGGAAACAAGATGATGACAGACATGTGAAACTGCACAAGTCTTTATTATTACAATGTTTGTCAATGGGCTTTATAAATTTATTTAAATTAATACAACAGACCTTGAAATTCTTTTGCCATAATAGGAGGCATGTGCTGTTTCATGAGTCTCATGCAAATTTGGTGTTTCTTATGGTCAGCTTGGGCAAGGTAAGTTGTAGACTTTGAGCTAATAATGGTACCATAGGTGTAAATTTGCAATAATACATGTAGTATGGAATTATTTGTTAATAACTTTTTAAGATTTGTTCTCCCCAAGTAGTTTTGAGCTATAGAAATTTGTTGATACATTTTATTTACAGGCAGGCCCTGCTTATACAGCAGGTTAAGTTCCAAACTACTGCTGTAAAGTGAAAATCACTGTAAAGAGAATCTTGGGCTTTTTTCATTTTCAAATGCATATAAAAGCTTGATGACATGTTTACACTATCATATATTAATTGATCAGATACCTAGGCCTAAAAAATGCATATACAGTACACACATTACTTACCCTAAAATATTTTTGTCCTTAGCTTATAATGAGTGGTGACTGTATTTATCATGGCAAGTCTGAATAAATGAAGAATGGGTATAATTGAAAACTGCTGTATTAGCAGAACACAGTAAAGTGAAATGCTCTAAAGCAGGGACTGCCTGTACCTGGGAGGTAGTAGTAAAAAATTATAATTACACCTGGAAAATATTGGTTGGATTGGCTCCAAAGGTATACACAAATAAGTACTCAAATTATAGATGAAAGTAAAATATGCCAATACAGTAGGGCCCTGCTTTATGGCAATTTGCTAATACAGACACTTCAAATTATGACCAAAAATTTGTTTGTGTCTCCCTGCTTTGCTGTTATGGCATCTGCAAACCACTCTTGTTCATGTCCTCCATGAGCTCCGTGTCTCGATTATGTCTGGAAACTTTCCAAAATTCCAAGTGTTTTAAAGTTATTTCATATTTTATATATACTCTGATAATTGCATATGTGTATGCTTCTAGACTGTTGTATTCTGAGCACCTCTGCAAAAACAGTGATAATGTGCGAGTGTGGTGAAAGTGTTGAATGATGATGAAAGTATTTTCTTTTTGGGGATTTTCTTTCTTTTTTGGGTCACCCTGCCTCGGTGGGAGACGGCCGACTTGTTGAAAAAAAAAAAAAAAAAAATTGCACTTGTGTACCTGTACCTAAATAAACTTGCACGCTATGCTGATGTGAAGGTACACATTAAGATCACTAAAGTGTCTCACTAGTGTTGAAGACACCATAATAATAATAATCACTATGGGGCACTGTAAATGTTAATATAGACATTTTCATTAATCCATCTTCATTTTTTCAAAATTAGATAAACCCACTACATATCCTATAAACATAATACATACAACCATAGTATAACAAATTGATATGAATATGATGAGGTTGTGGTAGCTGGGCAGTTTGTAGTAATGATGGCAAGAATTCTGTTTTCTCTAGTCCAATACCAGAGAAGCTGCATATAGTATAGTATTACTGGGGGTAACTAGAAAAATATTCCTTTCATATGCCTCCACTAGTAGTGTTATAAGCTTTAAAAATGGTGTTGCATGAGAATGGGAGTGTTGCTGTTATTTATTCTACTGCACCAACATGAAGACAACTTGTACACAATGCAAGGTGTTTGCATTCTGGGAAAAAACCTTCACAAGAGCATGCATAATGCAAAATGAACATATATGGCATGATTTTTAAAATTGTATAATAAGTATGCTATATATCACATAAGTAAGATATATATTCATGGTCAAACAAATAAACATAATTGTGAGGTGGTAACCAGGTAGAAAGAGATTTGGTAATAAGTAATACATATTTTATGAAAAAGAGGATAAATAAATATACAAGGTATGATGTAGCATGTAATGAAAGTAGTTTATTAGATTATGTATTGGTGGATAAAAAGTTGATGGGTAGGCTCCAGGATGTACATGTTTAAAGAGGGGCAACTGATATATCGGATCATTATTTAGTTGTAGCTACAGTTAGAGTAAGAGGTAGATGGGAAAAGAGGAAGGTGGCAACAACAAGTAAGAGGGAGGTGAAAGTGCATAAACTAAGGGAGGAGGAAGTTCGGGTGAGATATAAGCGACTATTGGCAGAAAGGTGGGCTAGTGCAAAGATGAGCAGTGGGGGGGTTGAAGAGGGTTGGAATAGTTTTAAAAATGCAGTATTAGAATGTGGGGCAGAAGTTTGTGGTTATAGGAGGGTGGGTGCAGGAGGAAAGAGGAGTGATTGGTGGAATGATGAAGTAAAGGGTGTGATAAAAGAGAAAAAGGTAGCTTATGAGAGGTTTTTACAAAGCAGAAGTATTATAAGAAGAGCAGAGTATACGGAGAGTAAAAGAAAGGTAAAGAGAGTGGTGAGAGAGTGCAAAAGGAGAGCAGATGATAGTGGGAGAGGCACTGTCAAGAAATTTTAATGAAAATAAGAAAAAATTTTGGAGTGAGTTAAGTTAAGAAAGCCTAGGGAAAGTATGGATTTGTCAGTTAAAAACAGAGTAGGGGAAGTAGTAGATGGGGAGATGGAGGTATTAGGTAGATGGCGAGAATATTTTGAGGAACTTATAAATGTTAAGGAAGAAACAGAGGCAGTAATTTCATGCACTGGTCAGGGAGGTATACCATCTTTTAGGAGTGAAGAAGAGCAGAATGTAAGTGTGGGGGAGGTACGTGAGGCATTACATAAAATGAAAGGGGGTAAAGCAGCTGGAACTGATGGGATCATGACAGAAATGTTAAAAGCAGGGGGGATATAGTGTTGGAGTGGTTGGTACTTTTGTGTAATAAATGTATGTGAAAGAGGGGAAGGTACCTAGGGATTGGCAGAGAGCATGTATAGTCCCTTTATATAAAGGGAAAGGGGACAAAAGAGACTGTAAAAATTATAGAGGAATAAGTTTACTGAGTATACCAGGAAAAGTGTACGGTAGGGTTATAATTGAAAGAATTAGAGGTAAGATAGAATGTAGGATTGCAGATGAGCAAGGAGGTTTCAGAGTGGGTAGGGAATGTGTAGATCAAGTGTTTACATTGAAGCATATATGTGAACAGTATTTAGATAAAGGTAGGGAAGTTTTTATTGCATTTATGGATTTAGAAAAGGCATATGATAGAGTGGATAGAGAAGCAACGTGGCAGATGTTGCAAGTATATGGAATAGGTGGTAAGTTATTAAATGCTGTAAAGAGTTTTTGAGGATAGTGAGGCTCAGGTTAGGGTGTGTAGAAGAGAGGGAGACTACTTCCCGGTAAAAGTAGGTCTTAGACAGGGATGTGTAATGTCACCATGGTTGTTTAATATATTTATAGATGGGGTTGTAAAGGAAGTAAATGCTAGGGTGTTCGGGAGAGGGGTGGGATTAAATTTTGGGGAATCAAATTCAAAATGGGAATTGACACAGTTACTTTTTGCTGATGATACTGTGCTTATGGGAGATTCTAAAGAAAAATTGCAAAGGTTAGTGGATGAGTTTGGGAATGTGTGTAAAGGTAGAAAGTTGAAAGTGAACATAGAAAAGAGTAAGGTGATGAGGGTGTCAAATGATTTAGATAAAGAAAAATTGGATATCAAATTGGGGAGGAGTATGGAAGAAGTGAATGTTTTCAGATACTTGGGAGTTGACGTGTCGGCGGTTGGATTTATGAAGGATGAGGTTAATCATAGAATTGATGAGGGAAAAAAGGTGAGTGGTGCGTTGAGGTATATGTGGAGTCAAAAAACGTTATCTATGGAGGCAAAGAAGGGAATGTATAAAAGTATAGTAGTACCAACACTCCTATATGGGTGTGAAGCTTGGGTGGTAAATGCAGCAGCGAGGAGACGGTTGGAGGCAGTGGAGATGTCCTGTTTAAGGGCAATGTGTGGTGTAAATATTATGCAGAAAATTCGGAGTGTGGAAATTAGGAAAAGGTGTGGAGTTAATTAAAAAGTATTAGTCAGAGGGCAGAAGAGGGGTTGTTGAGGTGGTTTGGTCATTTAGAGAGAATGGATCAAAGTAGAATGACATGGAAAAGCATATAAATCTATAGGGAAGGAAGGCGGGGTAGGGGTCGTCCTCAAAAGGGTTGGAGAGAGGGGGTAAAGGAGGTTTTGTGGGCAAGGGGCTTGGACTTCCAGCAAGCGTGCGTGAGCGTGTTAGATAGGAATGAATGGAGACGAATGGTACTTGGGACCTGACGATCTGTTGGAGTGTGAGCAGGGTAATATTTAGTGAAGGGATTCAGGGAAACCGGTTATTTTCATATAGTCGGACTTGAGTCCGGGAAATGGGAAGTACAATGCCTGCACTTTAAAGGAGGGGTTGGGATATTGGCAGTTTGGAGGGATATGTTGTGTATCTTTATATGTGTATGCTTCTAAACTGTTGTATTCTGAGCACCTCTGCAAAAGCAGTGATAATGTGCGAGTGTGGTGAAAGTGTTGAATGATGATGAAAGTATTTTCTTTTTGGGGATTTTCTTTCTTTTTTGGGATTTTCTTTCTTTTTTGGGTCACCCTGCCTTGGTGGGAGATGGCCGACTTGTTGAAAAAAAGCAAACCAGGTGGACTACCACACCTGACTTCCTGCAATAAATACTACTTACCTCTCAACTTACCTTAAAATATTTATAGTCTTAATATAAGTAATGAGTGTACTGTATGTGCACTTTACTTTTTTTTTTTTTTTTTTTTTTTTTTTTTTTTTTTTTTTTTTTTTTTTTTGCCTAGTTCTATTGCTAACTTTATATTTGATAATGTAAAAAAGTTATCAGGCATTTATATGCATTTAAACATTAAAAAAAGGGTGATTTGCTATATTGCAATTTTTGCTTTAAGGCAGTAGCCTGGAACCTAACCTGCCGTAAGTGAGGCCCTCCTGTACTGTAGCTTGAAGAGGTAGTAGTAGTTCTACATATCTGCTAAACTCTATTGTTACAGTATTTTCAGATAAAGCACTATATGTACTCATATTGGTCATTCTGGGCTACAGGCAGTGGCGGCTCATAGCGCCAGTAATACCTATACTGTCATACCATATCAAACTTCTATTTTTTATCTCATTTCAACAAAAAAATAAAAAATTCGCTTATAAATACATTGAAAACAACATACAACAGATTTTCCTGTAATATATTTGTCAGTTGCAAATTATTTTAGCGTAAGGTCGATGAAGTTATACGTCGGGCAGTGAGCATCTGGGGAGACTGCAGCTCCGATGGACGAGCCACTACAGGCAGCATAATTTTCTCATAGAAAAATTAACAAAATATCAATGAAGCTGGTGTTAAATTAGGCTATGTAATTTTACAATGGTGGAACAGTTTCTTATTTAGAAGTATTTGTCATTAAATTATTTAAGAGCACTGATAAGAAATTAAATTGTCATAAATAGTTTTGAAAGATTTTTCAACTAAATTGTGTTAATATTTTGCAGGTCGTTGGTCATTCCTGGCATGGATGAACATGCTACTGTTTTTGTGTCTTCTAGGCCTGACTGGGTTGGGTTTATATGTTTACACTGATGGCAATCTTACTCCTGATGGCATTGCAGCTGCCTTACCACACATTATAGAAAATGCCAATATCCTTGCAAGTCTCACAATTGAAGCTTTCTATCCAGAAAACTTAGCGCGAACTGGACAAGCCGTATTAGAATCTGTATCTGATGCATGGGCCATACTCGGGGAGCTTACCAGAGACATAAGTATCCATACACAGCCTGTTATTAAAAGTGTGAAAGAGGGATGGTTATGGTTGACAGAAGTTACCTTGTGGATTTACAACTGGATCATCAATAACATAGACTGGGAGTCTGTACTTGAAGCAATTAAATCTGCAGGTATTTTCATGTATGAGCAGTGGTTGGTGATATACGAGGAATTGAGAAGAAACGAGGCATTAATGTCAATCATAGCAAGAGTTCGGACTTACACTGCAGGTGTGGAAGAATACTTTGGTGTTATGTGGGGATTTATTTTGGAAAGAATCTGGTTTATTGTTGAATATATACAGGAAGAAGGTCCTGTTAAATTTGCAGCAGTGAAAGAACAAGCTACTGCTGCATTAGATTCTGCTAAACAGTCCATTGAAGGACTTGTCAGGTAAGCCTCGCTGATACTTCATTGTTAAGCATTTCCTTATTTTGTATACTATAAACTTACTTATTTTAAATATTGTAAAATAAAAACCTTAAATTTGTTCCATGATGTTAGGTTCCTTTTAACTAACTAGTGTTTTCATTCTACATATTGACATTTTGGAATTTGAACAATTTTACTATTTTAGTTAAAAATTCTGTGGTGGCTGATTGAATCTTTTAATTTAATGCTGCTGTTTGTGTTGTTCTTTTCAGATAAAATTATACATGTTGATTTGTCATCTCCCATAAATATTTTGAGGCATTTCAACACAATGACATTGTTAATCAACAGAATTATCAGTGTTACCTAAACTATTATTTCCATACTGCATAGTTTGACATGGAGACTATTATATATCTTCAATATATAAATCCTAATTTGAAAAGCTCCTTTGAAAGCTGTGATTAAGGTAATGGGAATGTGTTTTATCCTGTGGCCTTGACATCTTTGACCTCTCGACTGATGATCGAGATACATACAAGGAAGTTTGTCAGCTTTCTTTTCTATTTTTACGTGTTGTATACAGTATTTGTACATCATGCATAAATTAAGGTTTGTTTTTTTTAGTTGCCATATAGAATATCCTTGGTTAAAAATTAAGCAGTACAATTAGTTGTATCTTGAAACACTTGTAAAAAATACTTATACACACAAAATTATTGGATATTTGCCTTTTACGAACATTTTGAAGATACATACTATAGTTTTTTCTAATGGTTTAGAATGCTCATTATAATGTTGAGAACTGCTGTATTTCATTAATTTCCTGTTAATTTTCAGTATTACTACTGATGCTCAGTCTTAACATTAATATTGGGAAGTTCAGGGTGTCAGCTTGTGTAGTACAGTACCTGTTTTACATTTAATAAATGCCCTTTCAATATATTAATGTTTTATTGAAGTGTATTGCTTGGAAAAAATTTTTCATACACTATTTTGCATTTGTCAGAATAGTTATTGCAGTTTAAATAAATAGCAGGGGTAACGTGTACATAGGTGATACAGTAGACACTTGAATAAATCAAGTGAAGCTTGGTGTTCGCCAACACCATATGCATATCCTTGAACTAAAATGTGTAGAATATTAGTAGTATTAGTCAGCTTACATGAATATGTGAATACTGTGAGGAGGGAGGTGTCTTCCCATTTAATGATACAGAAGGAAGGCCATGTTCAGAAGATAGGTGGTAAGGAGGGAAAGTGGAGGCAGTTAGGGCAGTACTTGTCGAAGCATTACCACCAAGGTTCTTTGGTCACACTCACTGCAGTGCCACTTGGTCTACTGCTGGTCTGAGTTACTCATGGAAACTTTTACCACGATGGTTCTTTGGTCATACTGCAGTGCCTAATTCCATATTCCTTTCAATAAATGCTTTATTATTATTCTTATATCATTTTCTTTTCACATCTTCACCTCTCACTTGTGCACACTTCTTGAGAACAGTTCAGTTTTCTAAACCTACATTCTCCACTGGGGAAGTGCTGAATCCTTCCTCAGTAACCAATGCACGTAAAAATGTCGGGAGCAAGGGAGTAATAGCCCCTTCTATACAAATTACTAAAACAAAAAAGCAAAGTCTGAAGTTGGGTTGCTTAAATGTGGGTGGGTATAGTACGGATGAAAAAGAATGGAGTGGTAATGTTATGAAAAGCTGTCTTAACACTAGGTGAAATGAGGCTAAGTGTAAGAGATAAATTTGGTGAGATAGTAAGGTTAAATTGGGTGTATCTGAGAGCTAGGAAGTATTAAATGATCAACTATGGAAGGAGGAAAGTGTGTATAGCTATTTCAATTCAAGAATTGTAGATTAGAATAAAGGTGGGATGTAAAAATTGGGTTATATTGTTTATGCACTTGGGAGACAGATTGAGATTGAGGGAGGCGTTCAGTGAATGTTTAAGGACTTTAGAACAAGGTCATCAAATTGTCGTGGGGAACTAAAATACTTAAGTGGGAAGAACTTGTAGTAAAGCTTAGGGTACCAGGGGTAAATGATAAGCAGGTACCTCTAATTGAATTATGTAGATAGGTTTGGCAATGGGCAATACTTATTTTGAGAGTAAGTACATAAGATATGATACAGGATACAATGACAGCAGTGTGCTAACCCTTTGACTGTCGCAACCCCAAATCCTAAAGTGTCTCCTGGTGTCACAAAATATTTGAAAAAAAAAAAAAAAAAAAAAAAAGAACTTACAAAATGATAGAGAATCCTTTCCTGATGATAATGACACCAAAAGTACGAATTTGATGGAAAACTTACAGAATTACGCTCACGAAGTTAGCGACCTAGGCGACATTTACGCATCAGCGATTTTGCCCACTTTGAGCCCTATTTTCGGCCAATCCCATTGTTTCAGTCCAAACTCGTACCTATTTTTTTAGAATTCCATTTGTTCTATCGATTGAGTACAAGAAACTGCCCGTTTACTGATTTCAACTACCCAATAGTGCTCAGAAATTAGCAATTTGGCCAATTTCATGCAAATTAAAAAAATGGCAATTTCAAAATAGGGTCCAGAATGAGCAATGTAGATATTCCTGGGACTAAAATAACATTTTCTCTGTTCATCAGTCATGTCTCCAGGCCCATTATAATACTCTTGCTTTCTATTTTGAATTTTTATTCACACAAAAAATAGAAGATTTACTGTTATGCAGACTACTGCAGTATTGTAATAATTGTATAAATAATGTCAACCCATTCATGACTGCGTATTAGAATGGCTAATTGGACAATGACGTTTTGGATCGAGACCACTTTTTTCGGTGAAATTTTGGTCCGGAATTTGTACCACCACCAGGAAATCGTATGTATCAGATGTGTCCACCTGCCAGGAAGCTGCCACTCTTGAACAACGGCAAATATCGAACATTTCTGCCACTTTGAGCTCCATTTCAAGATCCTTTTCATAGTAAAACCAATCAAAATCACTTCCAGTTCTATATGTTTTACATTCTATCAAACGAGACCAAGAAAACAAGAATACAACCATAAATACTATATGAAAATACACCTCAAAGTCGGCGCTTTAATCCAAACACATGGTCGGAGTTTTTTTTTCTCATTATGCACTGCATGCTGCAGGATTTTTTTTTTTATACTGCACACAGTGACCACACAGACCCATTCTCTCTCATGTGGGCCTACCAGCTTTCTCCTGCTTGATTTGAAGCCGCTAGAATTTTTGAGTATATATATGTCAAACACATTGGCTTGTAAGACGTATATATATGACCAAAACAGTCAAAGGGTTAAACTATGCATGTCTATAGAAGGACAACATCTATCATTTAGTGGTAGCTACAGTGAGAGTAAGAGGTAAATTGAGTACAAGGAGAATGTCATCAGTAAAAGGGTAAAGTAAAAATGAATAAAAGTTAGGGTTAAGATATTAGCAACTAACTGGGAGACAGGTGGATTGAAGAGTACTAGTAATGGAAAGACTGAAGAAATGCAGGATAGTTTTAATAAAGTATTATTGTGCAGTAGTAATGTTACATTTTTTGTTGGTATACTATTGGGGTGGGTGCTTGTGGTAGATTGATGAAGTAAAGAGGGTGGTAAGGGTGAAAGTTAACATAAGAACATTTTTATGAAGTGATATATGGAGGGTGGAGTAAATGGAGAGAGAAAAAGAAAAGTTAAAAAGAGTGGTGAGGAAGTGCAGAATGAGAGCCAATGAGAGAGTGGGTGTCAAAAATTTTGCCAAGAAAAAGTTTTGCAGCCAGATTAATAAGTAGAGAAAGCCTAGGGAAACAAAGGGATTGATAAGCTTCAGTTACTAACAAAATAGAGATGATGATAGATGGAAAGGTGGAGGTACTTGGAAGATGGAGGAAATATTTTTTGTTGTCAGATGCTGAATTGGGCAGTGGTCATACATTGTGCAGAAGATAAAAGTGGAGAGTAAAGAGGAGGCAGATGCAAGTGTAGGGAAAGTGCACGAGGCACTGGGTAGAAAGTAGGTAAGGAAGCTGAGATCAAAAGTAAAAATGTTAAAAGCAGGTGGGCATGTAGTTTTGGAGTTCTTGGTATATTTATTCAATACATTTATGAAAGAAATGAACAAGCTGTAGATAAAATATATAATGATTAAAAAAAAACTACAATAAGTACTTTTTGGTAAAAGCATTATGAACATAGCCATCTAAATGGATAAAGGGGGTCAATGGTAGACCATCCCTTACAAATTCTGAATTGCTGAGGGAAGACATTTATGGGGTTTCCACTGTCCATCACCAGTTTAGTTTCAATAAAAACCAAAGTAGCTTCAGTAGTGTCTGTGGACAAGGAAGCATTGTACAAGGGTTAGAAGATGTAGGTGGAGTAAGAGTGGAAAGACACTGGTATTTATCAAACAAGACAACAAAGAAATGGTAGAGGTATCCCGAGAAGTCTGGAGTTTTGAGACTGATTGCGGGTTCTATCCCCGCCTGTGGTATGGTTTATCCTGAGAGGGCACAGGAGGGGTAGTGACAGTACATGGTGGTGGATGGATGTCCATAACTGTCACCAATGCAGGAGGCAACAAGGAACAAGACTCAGAGGCAGGAAAAATTAAGCATGGGAGGAAATATGCTTCATTAGCATTTTGTATGAGTAGTTGGATTTTGACCTTGAAGTGACCTTATGAGATGTTTAGCCAAGAAGGCGCGTGGGTAGAAGATGGGGATAGAAGGCAAGTAGTAGGAATTCAATGCGGGCAACTGTAATGAGCAGACATTGCAATTCATGGAAAAGGCCTGCAACAAGGCTTAGGCGCCGAGTGGAGCTACTGAAGACGGAACAATATGCTTCAGTAAGGCATTTTGGTGATGGGAGTTTTGGATTTTGGACCTTGGGAATGTTGACTTATGAGATGGTTTAGCCAAAGAAGGCTGCGTGGGGTAGAAGATGGAGGATAGAAGGCAAAGTAGTAGGAATGTCAGAGGCTGGCACTGTATATGAGCTAGACATTGGCAATTATGGGAAAAGGTGCAACAGAGGCTTGAGGGCGCCGAGCTGTGTAGTCTAACTTGAAGACGGAGGCGAGAAACTGCCATAGCAAAATGAGACCCTTGTGTTCTTTTAAGACAGCAGATTTCCCCATTCCCATAAGAAAACCGGGCACTGGCAAGAATATGTAGGCCAAAACACCAACAATTTCTGCTCTGCTGAGGATTAGGTATGTATTCCCCACTTGGAAATACTGTCCCTATAATATATACAGTGGACCCCCGGTTAACGATATTTTTTCACTCCAGAAGTATGTTCAGGTGCCAGTACTGACCGAATTTGTTCCCATAAGAAATATTGTGAAGTAGATTAGTCCATTTCAGACCCCCAAACATACACGTACAAACGCACTTACATAAATACACTTACATAATTGGTCGCATTCGGAGGTAATCATTATGCGGGGGTCCACTGTACATACATGTATATTCGTTTCTTCTTTCAACATACCAGCCGTATCCCACTGAGGTGGGGTGCCCCAAAAGAAAAAACTAAAGTTTCTCCTTTTAAATTTAGTAATATATACAGGAGAAGGGGTTACTAGCCCCTTGCTCCCGGAATTTTAGTCGCCTCTTACCACACACACACACATATACTGTACATACTGAAGCTGGAAGCTCTTGGCTGTCAAGGGTCAGTTTGCCAATATTATATGAATGGCGTCTCCAACCTCGGGCAGGAAGGACACAAATTTCAACTTTGATAACTCGGAGGTCCTGGAGCTCTAGTTGCTCCAGAATGTTGGAGTTACATTGCATAAAGTCCCATTGGACCATAGTATGCAAAATGAGGATGATACTACAGCTAGAATTGAGAGAAGAATGTGTCATGATGGGTGTCAGTAGAGCTAAGGGAGAGATTGAGAGCTTGCTAAGCATTCTGCAGACACTATATGCATGTCACTCTTGAGGGCATGAAAGGAAACATACCTCTAGTTCTTTGCTAATGCTATGGTTAGAGGAAATCTGTAGGCATTGTTGGCTGAAGAGAGAAGAATTTTGTCCAGGAGTCTTTGTAATACAGACTGGAGGGCAAGAGATTTTCTGGATAGTTTTTCTTAGAATCACCTCTCAGAACCAACAGGCAGCCTCCAGGAATACTTCCATCACCGAACACGTGAAGCTGCTCACCAGAACTCCAGAGGGCAGCCCAGCACATTTCCAAATGATCCAATTCCCACGGCAACCACCACGACTGAGGTCCTCGACAAAATGCAATAGACATTGATCTTTCTTGCAACTTAGGAGCTGTAATTTACAAGGTAAATAACCCCCAAAGGCCAAATGGATAGGAGGGGTGGGGGAAATTAGATTTGATCCAAGGAGACAAAAGGCTTAATTTCTTAGATTAAGAGCCTCTTCACCTCAAGGGACTCCCCCTTGAAGAGGTTTTTGAGAAAAGGAATTGGACTTCTCCTTGCTTTCCTTGGATCAATCTTGATTACCTCCTGTTCCCCCCCCCCAGGCACTGTATAAACCCTATGGGTTTAGTGCTTCTCCCCTAAATATAATATCTTAATGATTTACCATACTTATAGCTGCTGCCTTTGCAGATCCACCAACCTCTTACCTGAAACTGATATACTGTATTGCACTACTGTACCTGTAATTGTTGCTAGATACAAGCAGTTTTTTTTCCTTTGGCACGAATGGAGGGCATTGCTCCATTTGTCTAAATCTGCAGAAAGCTAATTGCACAGAAATTATGGAAATGGAATATAAAAAAAATTTGCTAGTAGTTTTACCAGCTTTGGGATTCATTTCTGTAATACTGTATAATGGTGAATTGGTCATGACAGTAGCAAGTTGATATGAACAGTTTAAATGATTTAAAATGGTATGTTTAAAGTGTTCAAAAACCTTTGTGTTTTTGAAAGCAAAACATCTTTCAATATAAGCACCACCTTAGGCCATTTTCAACATGTTTGGCTGTGTGAATATACAACATTGTCCTAAATGAAAAAAAGTTAATTCATCAAATTTTAGTGTTAAATGATGCCAGAGAGTTGAGCACTTTTCCATGCATAAAATCCTAGGATGACTCGTTAATTTTAATTTTAAAATTTCGTGGTCAAGACACCAGTGATCTATTCACTGTCATGGGTGACTGAAAGGGATGTGAAGGTTCTTGAAAGCCTTTTTCAAATCCTGGCACCTGCTCCTTCCCAGTATACTGGAAGTACTGTATAATAAGGATGACAAGACTAGATAGCAAATTACAAAGTAATACTGTCAGGCAAGTGTTGAATATGTGTGCTTTCAAAGTGTGACTTGATAATACTGGGAGGGAGGTCTGGTGCAAGGTCCTGATGGATTGGTCTGGGCACAACATGACCAGTGTTTCTGACCAGGATGACCAGTGTGGTTGTGGCCACAGCCTAGATATCCTCCTGAAAAAGCAAAATTAAACTATTAGACATAAAATATGTGTATGAGCAAGAAAATGGAAAGGGGTGATGAGTATGTGGGTCTGCGGGTCACTAGCACGGTCTGGTTAACTAGGTGGTCAACAGGAAAGCCTGGCCAGAGGTCAGTGAGCACTACTTAGAGATTGCATTTATGGGTTTAGAAAAGGCATATAGTGGACAGGAAAACCATGTTGCAAATATATGAAATGAATGATAGGTTACTAAAAGTATTAAAACAAAAAGCAATAAAAATTTGTGGATTAGTCAGATTAGGGTTTATAGAAGGAAGGGGAGACTATTTCCCAATGAAAGTAGGATTTAAGCAACCATGGTGACATCACACATACCTGTCTAAACCATTCATAGAAGGGGTGGTAATAAAAAGTAAGTGTTAGGATGATGGGGAGAGGAAGTATTAAAAGATGATGGATCTGATACACAGTGGGAGTTGTCACAGTTGCTTTTTGCCTATGACAGTTCTTTTGGGTTGGATAAATTTAGGAGGGTTAAGTTGGAAATTAAAAGTGAACATAGAAAAAAAGCAAGGTGACGATGGTAACAAAGTAGGCAATATGTTGAATATCAGATTGGAGGAAATACAGAGGAAGTGGACATGTCAGCAGATGAATCTGACAGACATAGTGAATCATAGAAGAAGGTGAAATGGTAGGTGTGTTGAGGCATTTGTGAAAAAGTTTATCTATGGAGAAAAAAAAAAAGGAATGCACTTAATAAGTATAGTAGTACCAACATTCTCTATAGGTGTGCGGCATGAGCTTCGATTGTTGCAGTAAGAAGAAGAGTCAGTGGAGTTATCATGTTTGAGAGAAATAAACTGTGTGATTATTATGCAGAGGGTTTGGAATGTATAAATTAAAAGAGGGTGTGAAGTCACCAAGTATATAATTCCAAGGGCTGAGGTAGTTTTGGCATAGGATGAAGAGGGTGTATAAATCTGGAAGTGGAAAGCAGGAGAGGTAGGGGTCATCCCAGGAATGGTTATAACAGAGAAGGTAAAAGAGGCTGAATTTTATGGGCTCGAGTGCTCAATCCAGCAGGCTAGAGTGAGCGTTTTAGACAGGAGTGCAGGCATTATACTTCTTTCCTCCAGGACTTAAGTCCAGCTAACCAGTTTCCCTGAATCCCTTCACAAAATATTACCCTACTCACACTCGACAGCTCATCAAGTCCAAAAAAAAACACTTATCTCCACTCCTATTTAATATGCCTGCTATAACAATTAACCTAGGATAACCCAATGTAGTCCAACAATGACTTATTGCCATATTTTGAGAAGTATTACACCTTGAAACAATTGTAATTCAAGTATATCTTGTACACAGTGTTAGAAAGCCACAGTATTAAAAAATATAAAAACAATTATTTGCACCAATTTATACTGTATATTCCAAGTGGAGCAGTGGAAATATAATAATGGTACATAATATAAACAAGTATATAGTATGACGTGTGCAACAGTTACAGTAGGTATCCTTATTCCAAAATATTTCACCTACACAGCAGGGTTTATCAGTTTAATACAGAGGTTGTAAATATAGAGACAGCAGCAGCTGAGATATGATATGAATAGTCCAAATGACCACCTCAAACTGCTACTTCAGGAATGATGGACTGACCACATCACCTCTCCACTGCTGCTGCCTTCATGTGTGCAAACTCTGTATATGACTGGTGAAGCATGCTGTGTAGGTGAAACTTTTAGAAATACAGATACCTAACAGTTGCAGAGGTGTCTAATCTAAAAGGAGCAATATTGAACTACTGAAACACCTTGAAACACATCTAATATCATAAGATATTAGTGTACATTGTCATAAACATTAAAAAAAATAAAAAAAATTATGATTTGCCATAAAAAAAATTTAAAACGTAAACTGGCACATTTATGCTGCTGTCGTTAACGTACGATAATTTTTTCATCAACTTCAATACACCATAAAATCTTAAATTTTTATCAGATTCCACCCTTTTTAGTCTTATTTGATTCATAAAAATGCACTCTTTTAATCTAATATTTTTTTCTAAATCTTGCCACACATGAAATTTATTTTCAGGGTATGCCACAATTAAGAGGTCCATCATAATCTGCAAGAACAGTTTTCAATTACGTATATCTCTTCAAGGGGGGCTCCTTGATGCGGCGAAGAGGCTCTTGGTCTAAGGAATTAAACTCTTTGGTCTCCTTTTCAGACCGAATCTAAGTACCCCCCAATCTTTCTTTCCCTATCCTATCCTCCCCCATTTTTTTCCCCCTTTCTTCCCTCCTCCCAACCCTCCCCTTTCTCCATCCCATTTGTAGTCTCTGGGGTCCTCTCTTCTGGCATTACGGTTTCTAGGTAGGAAGTGTGCTGGGATTCATCCCACTCCGTAGGGTCCCTCAGGGGTGGTGTAGTTTGCTGTGGAATCTGAATTGTCTGGAGGTGCCCTGCTCCCTTCCCTGATATCCGAGAAGTGGGTGGGGTGTCCTGCAGATGATTGGTGTGTCTCCAGAGGTTGCCTGTTGGTTCTGGGAGGTGACAGCCGAAGGAGGTACATGTATACTCTGTGGCGGGTTTCTGACCGCCCTTTCTTTTGTCCGCTGAGGTGGCTCGGTAGATGTGAGGTTGCAATAGGTTGGTCTCGGATGTTAGTAGAAGCTCACTGTTTGTTCGGCGCCCCTTCGTACTCTGACCGTTTTCTCTTCGTCTTCACTCACTCCTGCCTGCAAGTGCTTCTCGCTCTGTTTCTTGATCACTTCCGGTCACATGCTCATGCCATTGCTGTTTATACAGATGGTTCTAAATCTTGACAGTGTTGAGTTCGCAGCAGTATTCCCTGACTATGTTGTCCGAGGTCATTTGTTAGACTCGGCTAGTATTTTTACTGCCGAGTTGTATGCCATCCTCATAGTACTTCTTTGTATTACGTATATGTCCCCTTCAATGTTTGTGATCATTTCAGATTCCCTCAGTGCTTTACAAGCCATTAAACAATTTGATTACCCTCATCCATTAGTCCTTCATATTCAACTATGGTTGCGCTGTGTAGCTAGCAAAAACAAAGATGTTTTTTGTTGGCTCCCTGGGCACATTGATGTGCAGGGCAATGAACAAGCTAATGCAGCTGTGCGGTCAGCAGTGCATGATCTTCAGGTTTCCTATAAAGGTACGTATTCCATTCAGAAATTATTTTCCAGTCATCTCGACCTGTCTTAGCAGCCATTGGCAACAACGGTGGTCGGGCATGCACCATAACAAATTGCACTCTATTAAACCACTTTTAGGATTGTGGCCATCTTCTTACCACTGTTGCCATACTCGGGAGACTGCGCTCTCTCGGCTCCGCATTGGCCATACTCGCCTTACCCATGGGTATCTTATGGAACGATGCCCTATTCCTCCGAGGTTTGTCAGGTCCCTATTTCGGTTCTTCACTTTCTTGTCAATTGCCCGGTTTACCAGCGAGCTCGCAGGATTTGCCTCCAACGCCGCCGCCGCCACCACCCTACCACTCTTACCTTATCTTCCCTTCTTGCAAATGGCCCTGCCTCTGACTTACAATCACTTTTTGACTTTGTCAGCAACTGCTTTACTGTACAGATTTTGACACATAGCCCTTAGCGACCTTTCTGGTCCATTTCTCCCCTCACCTCTGATCCCTTCTCCATCTAGCTGTTTATAGCCTCAGCAGTATTTTCTGCCTTGCAGTGCTGTATGACCCTCGTTGTTTTAGCGCTCTCTTCGATTATAATAATAATTACATATGACCTATCACAATTTCCTGAATGTAAGTGGAACAGGCACTGTGACTTGTATGGGTTTAACATTCCCAACAGCCCTTGTGGCTTAGCGCTTCTTTTTGATTATAATAATAATAACATTCCCAATGAATATAATATTAATGTTTGTATAAAATAATTAATAGATAATACAGTATTAATGTTTGTATGTATAGGGTAATTCATAGAGGTACAGTGGAACCTCTGTTTTCGTATGCCCTAGTTTGTATGTAAAACTATAGTTATTTTCTATAAAATGTATTTTTTGTTAATATTTCCTATAAGAAATAATGTAAATCCAATTAGTCCGTTTCCGACACCCAAAAATATGAACAAAAAATACATTTTATAGAGAATAACTATAGTTTTACATACAAACTAGGGCATACAAAAACAGGTTCTACTGCACTGTATAACAGAAAATTACTTAACAAACCTGGCATCGTTGCCCCACAAGCACAAGTGGCAGTCTTGTCACCACCACTGGAACAGAAGGTGCAGCAGTGGAAGACCCCTGTATGCCGTCGACCACCTAGACTTGCTTCTCTGTTACCATCCCCAGCAGTGACACCACTTACTCCCATAGGCATCGACGTTATTCCAATTTCCAGAGGACTTCCCTAAGAACCAAAAAAATAATATAATAAAAAATTATACTCTCACTTGTCAAAAATTGATCCAAGGAATTGACCCTGACCTTTTCCTTGGATCTGAAGGCCTCCCAGGTGCTGCACGAGCCCTACAGGTTGAGCACTCCATGATTGTAATAATAGTGAATGACTCTTGCTCCATGGAATTAGAGCTACTGTGGAAGGGGGGGGGCTCTTAATGCAAAACACTGGACTTTTTCTCCCCTTCCTTGAATCAAACGTAATTACCTCCCATTCCCCAAGGTGCTATATGATCTACAGGTTTAGCACTTTCCCCCTCAATATAATACAGTACAGTATAAAAAAAAAAAAAGGCAGATTATTAATAAGGCCAAAAACCAAAAAGCTATTGACAGAGGACCTGACCTGCACATGAACACCTTGAATTGTAATATGCAATGTTGCTGCTGTAGGCAGAGGAGGGCAAAATATGACTTCGTATGACCCATCCTCACGATCCCTAACCGAGCACCCACATCTGCTGGAATATTTCAAATTAGGGATCTGTTGCATCTAGATTTTTAACTAAAAAAGGAAAATTAATTGTACATATAAAACTTCCTAAAGTAAAAGCTCATGTAATTTTCTAAAATCTGGAAATGTAAATGCTATGAAGTTTCTAAACTCTAGTACAGTATTTTTTTTTTTTATTAACACATCAGCCATTTCCCACCAAGGCAGGGAAACCCCAAAAAAAGAAGAAACACTCGTTATCATTCATTCATCACTGTCTTGCCAGAGGTGTGCATATACTACAGTTCATAAATTACAACATATCTCCTCCCCTCCTTCAGAGTGCAGGCACTGTGCTTCCCATCTCCAGAACTCAAGTCTGCCTATGCAGCGCTGTATAGCCCTTGTGGCTTAGAGCTTCGTTTTTATTATAATAATAATCAAGTCTGCCTAACTGGTTTCCCTAAATCTCTTCAAAAATGTTACATTGCTCATACTCCAAAAGCACATCATGTCATGAAAACCACTTGCACTACAACCATTTACAGAAAGTACTTGTATATTGGCTTAGCTATCAGGAGGCAGTTGAAAATACCTTTCACATCTGTAATGTGTCTTCTGAAGTTCATTATTTTGTCTATCAAGACTTCACTGACACCACATTGTGAGTCTACCTCAATCTATGTGACATTTTACAAGGTTGCAGCAAGAAGTATGTTTAGTTGTTGACCTATCACCTATAATGTAGGATGATTTTTCTCTATCCTATTCAATCACACTGGCTGGTCTTTCTGTCATACACTACATAGGACAGTTGAATCTCCTAGCACCATCTTTCCCTGTTCAACTAGCAATAAACAGATCCTGTACCTATTAGTTAAACTGTTGTCGGCTGCATCCCACAAAGGACTTAGGAAATAAGCCACCCTGTCTGGATTTCTTGCATAATTAACCCTCCAAATACAAATAAAATTTTCTTCCACACAGCATAGGTTCGTAAAGATGGATTCTTAAAGTAATAAAATCTGTCAACCTGAGAAGGCAGACTTCTGTAGGGCAATGAGGATATCCTCAAGGAAGCTAGCCACTTGTGGAATCTTAACTACATATTCTAAAATAAAGTGCTGAAAGACCTAAAATCTTTTAAAAACTTGTACATTCAAGGAAGCTGGGAGTGGTGATGTAGTGTTTGAGCATGATGTGTGGTGTGAAAACTATGCAGAGAATTCAGATCTTTGAGATTAGGCATGGGTTGTTGAAGTGGCTTGGATATGCAGAGAGGATAGGGCAAAATAGGATGACTTAAGAGGGTACGTATATAAATCTTTCTTCTTTTAACACACCGACCATATCCCACTTGAGGCAGGGTGGCCCAAATGGAAAAATGAGTTTTTCCCTTTTACATTTAGTAATATACACAGGAGAAGGGGTTACTAGTCCCTTGCTCCTGGCATTTTAGTCACCTCTTATGACACGCGTGGCTTACGAAGGAAGTAATCTGTTCCACTTCCCCATGGATAATGTATATAAATATGGGGTAGAGAAAAAAAAGGACTGGTAAGAATTGTCCCAAGAAAGGTTGGAGGGAGGGGGGTAAAGAAGGTTTTAGATTCCTAGGGCTCTTGACCATCAAAGAGGCTTGTGTAAGTGCATTAGATCAGAGTGAGTGGTGACAAGTGCTTTTTATGAGTTGACATGCTTTTGAAGCATGAGAAAGGTAATAATTATGAAGGGATTTAAGAGAAACCAGTTAGTTGGATAGTGTCTGCACTCTAAAGGAGAGGCGAGGATATTGTAGTTCAGAAGATCATCTGAAATGTGATGTCAGCACACTTTTGGCAAGCAACTGAATGACTGTTGGTGAATGAGTTTCCCGCCCCCTTTTTTTTTTGGGGGGGGGGGGGGGGTCCACTACCTTGGTGGGACATGACCAGTGTGTTTAAAAAATTACAGTATTAATGAACTGAACAATGGCCTATAATTATTATAACTCCTTAAAAACTGACCACTTACAGAGTTGTCCCATCTATTGCAAGAATACTGGCGGATATTTCTTCTCCGCCATGAGTTACTGGCTGGCCATCAATGTCTCTTGCTACTACCAATGCAGATGCTTTTGATCCCACAGTTAAATTGGTGACATCACATACTGTTGGTTGTGAAATATGTCAGCATGAAAACCACAGAGACATAAGAAAAATTATTTACCTTCATCTCTTGAATATTACTGTCACCTGAAATATGTACTGTACATTACGAGACTACAACATACAACAAGATTCTACAAAAAATTAGGATATTGTCTTCAAGTTAGAGTGCATAAATAGCAAGCTTACATGGCTTTAATCTTGAATTTGAAGGATCAGCAGGAGTATCAGCAATCACACCCTGGATGCGATGACCCCTCACCTTGCCTGCTCGGTGCTCACGAAGCAGTGCCAGCCTCTCCCACCGCATCCAACCTCTCACTTGCTCACTTAGCAGTGTCTGGCAGCGAGCCAGGAATAACACAATGTGGGAAAATGAGGTTTACATAGATATCAGTAAGAATAATGATTAGCACTTCCCATTATTATAATAAGATGCTTTCAATAATCTTTCAATATTAGATACAGTACATACTAACATACTGACCAAAACTTAACCCTTTGACTGTCGCGGCCATATATATACGTCTTACGAGGTACCGTGTTTGAAATATATATACACATAAATTCTAGCGGCTTCAAATCAAGCAGGAGAAAGCTGGTAGGCCCACATGTGAGAGAATGGGTCTGTGTGGTCAGTGTGCACCATATAAAAAAAATCCTGGAGCACGCAGTGCATGAGAAAAAAAACTCTGACCATTTTCTTTTAATTAAAATGCCGACTTTGTGGTCTATTTTCGTATAGTATTTATGGTTGTATTCTCGTTTTCTTGGTCTCATTTGATAGAATGGAAAACATATTATAGAAATAGAGGTGATTTTGATTGATTTTACTATAAAAAGAACCTAGAAATGGAGCTCAAAGTAGGGGAAATGTTTGATTTTTGCCAATGTTCAAAAGTAAACAAATGATGCCATTGTCCAATAAATGTCCAACTAGCCATTCTAATATGCAGTCATGAATGGGTTGATGTTATTTATACAATTATTACAGTATTGCAGTAGTCTGCATAAGAGTAAGTCTTCTATTTTTTGTTTGAATAAAAATTCAAAATAGAAAGCAAGAGTAATATCAGAGAGGCTTGGAGACATGACTGATGAACAAAGAAAATGTTATTTTAGAGCCAGGAATGTCTGCATTGTTCATTCTGGACCTTATTTTGAAATTGTCATATTTTTTAGTTTTTGTGAAATTGGCCAAATTGCAAATTTCTGACCACATTATTAGGTAGTTGAAATTGGTAAATGGGCAGTTTCTTGTACTCAATTGATAGAAAAAATGGAGTTCTAAAGAAATAGCTATGAGATTGGGCGACTGGAACAACAGAATTAGCCGAAAATAGGGCTGAAAGTGGGTGAAATCGCAGATTTGTAAACAGCGCCGAGGTCGCTAACTTCGCGAGAGCATAATTCCATCAGTTTTCCATCAAATTTCGTTTTTTTGGTGTCATTACAATCGGGAAAAGATTCTCTATCATTTCATAAGAAAAAATAATTTTTTTTTTTAAATTTTGCGACACCAGGAGACACCTCAGGATTGGGGGTTGCAACAGTCAAGGGGTTAAATGACTAAGTATAGCAAACAATGAAGCAGTGTTGCGCATGAATATACTGTAATAATAAAATGTACTGTATTCATATATTTCATCTTATAATGAATGCAGTGATTAGTTAAGATATAATAACTTCAAAGATTTTCCATGAAAACTAATTGAATTACATAAAAACAAATAAAAGGGGTCATAATTAGAACTTCTGGTCTATTATTTTCACAGAGTCACCATCATTCTCTAGACAAAGTACATACATTCTTTTAATTGCTTTTGAGCTCCTAATGATATGAACCCCCCTCTATTTAACAAGATAGAGGATCAGTATCATTAGATTCTAGCTGGAATCACCTGAATGGTGGCATGTCATAATGATAACGGTTCTCTGTCTTGTTGAGAGTGGTTTTCACATCTCAATTTTCAAACTGGAATTATGAAGATGAACAATAAAAACATCTGACAATTATACATGGAAACATTCAACTTCAGAGTAGTAATTGCCTGTAATCTGCAGGTAACAAGTGGGGCAAGAGCCAGAGCCTCTGCATCCCCAGCATGGTGAAGGAGGTCATGTGTGAGGTCACAGCCTTGTCTCAACCAAGAAGCTGTCTGACCTGCTCTCTGAGACTCCGTCACAATACCTCGCTGAGCACGCTCGCATGCTTGCCGTACCTACACAACAGGAGAGGTGTCTTATATAATAATATATCGAAGAGAAAATACTTAATGGGAAAGAAGCAAGAATAATAGAATAAGTAATGGTAAAAAACTTAATTATTAAGCAAGACAATACATAAAAATAACTACAGTATTTTGAATTCCTAAAGGACCTGTAGTGTAAAGAGGCGATATTGCATATCATAATTAACACCTGGAAACTAGATAAATTGGTTTCCAATCTGTACAATTAACCCTTTGGGGGTTTCGGCCATACTAGTACGGCTTACGCCCCAGGGTTTTTGACGTATGTACTAGTACGCCTAAATTCTAGCGCCCTCAAATCTAGTGAGAGAAAGCTGGTAGGCCTACATATGAAAGAATGGGTCTATGTGGTCAGTGTGCGCAGTATAAAAAAAAACCTGCAGCACACAGTGTGTAACGAGAAAAAAAAAACTTTGACCGTGTTTTTGGATTAAAACAGCGACTTTGCATTGTATTTTCATATGGTATTTATTGTTGTATTCTAGTTTTCTTGGTCTCATTTTATAGAACGGAAGACATATTACAGAAATTGAGATGATTTTGACTGGTTTTACAATGAAAAGTACCTTGAAATTGAGCTCAAAGTAGCAGAAATGTTCAATTTTTACCAAAGTTCAAAAGTAAACAAATCATGCCAAGCGTCCAATACACATCAACTGGTGAGTAATATTCTTTCACAAGTGCGCTGATATTATTTATACCATTTCTACACTAATGCAGTAGTCTGCATAACAGTAAATCTTCTATTTTTTGTAAGAATAAAAATTCAAAGTGGAAAGCCAAAGAAATATAAGAGGGGCCTGGGGATGTTACTAACGAACAGAGAACTTGTTATTTCAGTGCCAGGAATGTCTTTCTTGTTTATTCTGGACCCTATTCGGAAATTGGCATCTTTTGAAATTTGTGTGAAATTGGCAAAATTGCTAAATTCTGACCACTTTATTGGATAGTTGAAATCGGTAAATGGGTGGTTTCTTGTACTCATTCGATAGAAAAAATGGAGTTCTAGCAAAATAGTTATGATTTTTGTCGACTAGTACACTGGAATTGGCCGAAAACAGGGTTCAAAGTGGGCAAAATCGCCGATGCATAAACATCGTCGAGACCGCTAACTTCGCGAGAGCATAATTCTGTAAGTTTTCATCAAATTTCATAGTTTTGGTGTCATTATGATCAGGAAAAGATTCTCTATCTTTTCATAAGAAAAAATAATTTTTTTTTAAATTCTGGCAACCCTGAGAACAAGTCCCTGAGAGAGCCTGGCAACTCCCAAAGGGTTAAATTACACAAGAAAGAGACATGTGGTGCAGCCAGGATTTCAGTCTTGGAGGAACATTAAAAAAACATGCCAAAAAAATTCAAAGAAATAATTTTTAAAAACACATTTTTCAGTATGTGTGCAGAATTTCTTAAACCATCATTCTTTCATGGTCTCAAGTTAAGATAATACAAATAAAGAAAATATATTTGCATCTGGGGAGATTGAGATGCCATAGCATCCATGGCTGTGCCACTGCTACAATGTACAAAATAATCTTATACCTGGAGGGTGTTCCAGGGGTCAATGCCCCCGCAGCCTGGGCCATGACAAGGCCTTGTACTGAAAGGCAGAGAAACCTAGGTTTGGTCTGTACAATAAAATGAACGTCTGGGAGCGTAACCCATTCAAATTTAAAAGTTTATCAGTATAAACAAAGAGCTCAAGGCTTCACAATACCCTCCCTGTAATTACAAGAAGAAATTGCTGACAGACCACTGTCTTCAAGAGAGAATTTTTTTTCAAAGCAACAGTGTTTCATTATTCTGTATAACTGTATAGTATAACAAACTGTACTTTCTTGCATTTGTAGTAAGACTTCTTAAAATTATAGATTTAATTAACGTTTATCTTGTAAATAGTACAATACTTCATAGACTCAACCTGGAATACATTTCTACAAATTGCATAGGTGTTGTGGACTGAACCAGTGTAGTCTAAATGTAGACTTGCAATTGCAAGGATGCCAGTTCAGTCCCCAGTATTTTTACACACTTTGTTACTTTCACGATATGGTGAGATTTACGTTGCTACTAACTTGTCTGAGAAGTGTGTGTCTGTGTTCCTCTAGAGCCATTATGTAGTCATCTATAAAGGCATTGACTTGGTCACTAACAACTCTGCCTCTTTGTTGTACTCTCGTGGCAGCACCAGAAAGATCCTCAACGGTGCTCAGGAGGTAATTCATTCTGTAATGATAATAATTACTTCCAATAAGATATGTATGTCAACATTACAATACTAGTAGGTTAACAGTACTTTTTCTTGCAAGGTAAAGTTCAGTGCTCTTTTAATACACTGGCTGTCTCCTACTAAAGTGGACTGGCATAAAAAAGGGAACACATTCACTATCATGTAATCAATAGCTCTTGTCAAAAGTGCGAAGACATCACAATTTAAATGATCTGAACTGCAGCATCCCCGCCCCTTCTTCCAAGCACTTCCCACCTCCAGGATTCAAATCTGGCTAACCAGTGTTCTGGAATCCCTTTATAAATGTTACTTTGCTCATGCCCCAACAGCATATTAATCCATAAAACTACTTGTCTCTTTTACTTTAATCTGACATGCTTACAAAAGCCTGCTGGAGGATCAAGCCCCTTGCACTTAAAAACCTCCTTCACCCCTCCCTTGAACCATTCCTGGGGTGACCCTTACCCCTTCCTTCCTTTCATCTTCCTTTGACCTTTTTCTTCATCCTATCCTGCCCCGTCCTCTCTAAATGCCTAACCACCTTAACCCTTACTCAGCCTCTCAATTATACCTTTGATAAACCCATATCATCTCTTAATTTTTACATTCCAAATTTTTCATATGAACAGTATTATATTCACACCACAGCCCATAGTTATGTACAGCATTTCAGGCAGTCTTAAGCTAGGACTAATACAAAAGCTATAAATATAAAAATATATTGGACATAGTGGAACAGTAGATAGTATGGAAATAAAGAAGAGTTGTAAATGATAAGACACCAACGCAATACAGCCTCTCCTCACTTAACGACGGAGTTCCGTTCCCAAGACGACGCGGTAACAAATTTGTCGCTAAGTGAGGAGCATACTACAATGGTAGTGGGTTTCTGTCATCCATCTTTGATATTGTTTTAATGTCACCTTTGCACCATTTACAACATTTCTGGTATATTTTTAAATGTTTATACAGTATTGTACTGTATATTGTAATAAATAGAATAGAGGAAATCAGCTCTAATATACATTATTTAGGTATGCATACTGGTCAGAGAGCCTTTCATAAGTCCGAGTCGTTGGTCAACGAGTACGTTGCTAAGCGAGGAGAGGCTGTACACTAATTAGAAAGAGCTATACCAGTGAAACATCTGAATAAACTTTGTGTCTGTATTTTTATCATCTACACTTTTTTTCTTTCAACACACCAGATGTATCTCACCGAGGCAGGATGACCTAAAAAGAAAAACAAAAGATTTTCTTTTAAATTTAGTAATTTATACAAGAAAAGGGGTTACTAGCTCCTTGCTCCTGGCATTTTAGTTGCCTCTTATAACATACATGGCTTACAGAGGAAGGATTCTTCTCCACTTTCTCATGGAGATCCATAATTTTGATATGATGTGTAGTACACTAAATATATATAAATTTACATCATAAATAATACAAATTTTAGTGAATATAGAGCATTTGGTAAAAGATATTAAATTAAAATTTAATGTTAAACCAAAATCTAACTTCAAAAGAAACAAAAATTAATGAAGTAATGATGTAATAATAACTGGAGACATGGTTAAATGTAAAAAATTAAGGAACATGGCATAATTTATAACTTGGATGTCAAAGTTTAATGACATGTTAAGAAGTTAGACGAGATTTTTGCAGGAACTACATAAGGTACACAAAGATTTTAAGTTTCCATCTGAATTCATTTACTATTTTTAACTTATCTGGCAAATTATTCCATATTTTTTTACTCTTTCATTTACACAGAGTTTCTATAGAGGCTGAGGCAAACATGAGGCATGTCAGAGGTTTTTTTTTTTTTTTCAACAAGTCGGCCGTCTCCCACCGAGGCAGGGTGACCCAAAAAAGAAAGAAAATCCCCAAAAAGAAAATACTTTCATCATCATTCAACACTTTCACCACACTCGCACATTATCACTGTTTTTGCAGAGGTGCTCAGAATACAACAGTCTAGAAGCATACATATATAAAGATACACAACATATCCCTCCAAACTGCCAATATCCCAAACCCCTCCTTTAAAGTGCAGGCATTGTACTTCCCATTTCCAGGACTCAAGTCCGATTATGTGAAAATAACCGGTTTCCCTGAATCCCTTCACTAAATATTACCCTGCTCACACTCCAACAGATCGTCAGGTCCCAAGTACCATTCGTCTCCATTCACTCCTATCTAACACGCTCACGCACGCTTGCTGGAAGTCCAAGCCCCTTACCCACAAAACCTCCTTTACCCCCTCTCTCCAACCCTTTCGAGGACGACCCCTACCCCGCCTTCCTTCCCCTATAGATTTATATGCTTTCCATGTCATTCTACTTTGATCCATTCTCTCTAAATGACCAAATCAAATTCAAAATGGGAATTGACACAGTTACTTTTTGCTGATGATACTGTGCTTATGGGAGATTCTAAAGAAAAATTGCAAAGGTTAGTGGATGAGTTTGAGAATGTGTGTAAAGGTAGAAAGTTGAAAGTGAACATAGAAAAGAGTAAGGTGATGAGGGTGTCAAATGATTTAGATAAAGAAAAATTGGATATCAAATTGGGGAGGAGGAGTATGGAAGAAGTGAATGTTTTCAGATACTTGGGAGTTGATGTGTCGGCAGATGGATTTATGAAGGATGAGGTTAATCATAGAATTGATGAGGGAAAAAAGGTGAGTGGTGCGTTGAGGTATATTGGAGTCAAAAAACGTTATCTATGGAGGCAAAGAAGGGAATGTATGAAAGTATAGTAGTACCAACACTCTTATATGGGTGTGAAGCTTGGGTGGTAAATGCAGCAGCGAGGAGATGGTTGGAGGCAGTGGAGATGTCCTGTTTAAGGGCAATGTGTGGTGTAAATATTATGCAGAAAATTCGGAGTGTGGAAATTAGGAGAAGGTGTGGAGTTAATAAAAGTATTAGTCAGAGGGCAGAAGAGGGGTTGTTGAGGTGGTTTGGTCATTTAGAGAGAATGGTCAGAGGTACATACAGTATATTATTTACTTTGAGTGTGAAGTGTCTTACTTCAGCATCAGTATTACAGTGTAATTATTTTGAAGATTTGGAGTGAACAATGATATGTATAACATTAATGTGCAATGACTCTGGTAACTGTACAATATATAAATTAAGTTTTTGAGTGTGCTCAACCCTAAATCTCTCATACATCCCCTTCCTTCAAGAATAGGGGGATGGGGGGTGGAATGAGTTGATGCTGGTGAATGGCTCCTGGATCAAACCTGATTACCCTTCATTTCCCAGGTGCTGTGTGACCCCTACTGGTTTAGTAGTTCTTTATGAAAAAAAATAACGATAATCATACTATTAATTTACACTGATTTCTTATACTTAGAGGCTAGTTATTCATTAGAGTCTACATTATTATTATATTCATGGAAATTGCTAAGACTGTGTATCAGGGATATACTACAATGTATTCACAGGTGAACTCCACTCCTGACAATTTAAATTAAAACCACCTGTCAGCTACATACAACAATCAAATAACCACTGTAAATTACATACCCTAAAAACCTAAGAATATTTATAAAGAAAACAATCATATAAAAAATAAAGGTAACTCACTGGATAAAGGTAACTCATTGGATAGTGAAAACTAATATTATAAGCAAAAGTATTACCATTAACAGGAGAAAATCCAATGACATAGTAAGCTTCAATTTATCAATAAATGGGTAAAGTCAGCTGTAAGAAAAGCAAAGCAGACATAAATGTAAGGAATATGGAAAGAAAGAGGAGAGCAACTCAAAATGGCATGATGAAAAGTATGGGCATGGAATAAAGGACCAGTGCAGTTAATGTATTAGCTAATTCAAGCCCCTGCCTAATGCTACTTTGCATATATTATCAGGTCATCCTGACAGCATCTCCTGATTGACTGTCAGGTTTTTCAGAGAGTACAGCAATTTTATTTTACATGCTTTCTTCAATGCCCAGAAATGCATACTTTGTCTTGTAATTCCCCCTCCTTTCTACTGATGCCCTACTGTCAACATCTCTACCATCTCTTTCAGTGTAGTGCTGAGTGACCTTGAGGGATTCAGCACTTCACATGAATATACAGTAAAAGCAATATTACACAGAAAGCTGCTGATAATTAGTTACCTGGATGAAGCTTGATCAAGTAATGCAGTGAGCTTTTTGCGTGCTTGTGGTGCTGCCTGGTCAACAGTGACAGTTGGATGTCCACGGTGAAGAGTGGCGAGACAGGCAGCACACAGTGGTTCGTGACACCCACGACACCACCACCCAACTTCACCTTCGCCGTGTGTTGCACAGACAAGAGTGTGAGCCACCTCTCGTATGCCTAAACTTCTGGCTTCCTGGCGAGGTGAACATGTGTGGTCAAAAGAAGAGTAACTTGTGCTATATAATATGTACTCTAACTTTTAAATAGAGTAGCATAAAATGGATAATCTAAACATTTACATAATTTGATTTAATATTTTACACCAAGAGCAGAAAGTCAACAGAATGCAAAAATCAACATCTACATGTTTTAACTTAAATACTACTAGATACGTACAGTGTCAGTTCCCAAGCTAAGCTATTTAACTATTTTCAGAAAGGAATAGGAACTATAAAGAAAAAATGACACTATATGAGAGATCAATACGTAATATGATGGGATCAAAAAGCAGCCTCCTTGTGGGTTAATGTGGTTCAATTAATAAAGTGTTCTCAGCTCACATACTGAAGGACCTGGGATTGCTTTCTGGCACAGATGAAATATTACTGCAAGTTTACCTGGGGTGTTAGTCGATTGTTGTATGTTGCACCATGAGGGAGAATAAGGAGACGAACCACTGTTTGTTTTTTATTTATCGTCTGACTTCATTAATTTTTTTGTTAGAATGAGCATTAAAAGATATATTTATGAACAAAAGTCTGGCAGAAATCAGAAGGCAAGCAAATTAATGGAAAATATATATATATATATATTTTTTTTTTTTTATTTGGGCCAGCAAGTTCAGAACATGGGCAATGCAAATTTTTGGGGGTCAGTCTCTACTCATAAAGTAAAGCACAACCGATGTTATTCTTTTATACAAGTTATTTTCATCCCCCTCAAAAAAAGTGGGCAGGTTCTTGAAAAAAAAAAATCCCTTTACTGCCCCTCATAAATGCAAAAAATATTCAGGATAATTAGAAAGGATAATAATGGAATTGTAAAACATACATTGCTAAATGACAAAAAAAGGCACAATACTGTGACTGGAACGTTACACAAATAACCCGCACATTATTTATAAAGCATTTACAAGTAAATAGGCCAATAAGTTATTTTTGAGACATTTGACAAAAATGGGCACATCCCCTCGCAGAAAGAAATACTTCATTTTTATTTTTTGAGCGATTGACGCTATTTGTGCGTAAAAGCAGAAAGTTATCCTGGGTGGCTAACCCCCTGGGCTAAAAATCTGAACCCTTGTATTAGGTGTTGTTAGCAATATCACTGCTTGATTATATTCCTTAGAGCAATGTTCTTAGCACTGCTTTGTTTGTTTAAAGTTTTGCGATAATGATGCTCTCAGCAGTAGAATTCTTACCATATATGGAAGTCAACAATGAAAAAATATAAAATAAAATAGTGATTTCTATAATAGTTGCCTAGTCCCAGGGGGTTTGATAATGATGTCATCTAGAGTATGCCAAATAACAAATACAAACAGCAATAATCAGTCAAAAAAACTTATAGCACTTAAAATGGTAATAGTGTAAGAAAGAAATAAAAGTCAAAGCAAAATAGAATCAGCAAGCTCATGCAAATGACATTTCCAACCAGACAGACATACCTGTAGAGAAATAACAGTGTGGTGAGTTGTGCGCCTCTGTCGCGTGTGTGCATGACTACAGAGTCTACACAGGTTCACGGGGCAGGTGTCACAGCGTTCCTCAGCTACGACGTCTGTTGGATGAATTCACATGCGTTTATCATCTTGTACATGACTTCAAATCATTATTGCAAAGACGTTACATATTATGTGATACCAATTATATTATATACAGAATATTATATTCATGGGAAAGCACTAAACCCATATGGATAATTAGGTCTAATCTGAGAAAGTGGAGGGTAGCTCAAATCATGAGGGTATACTGCAGTGTATAATATAAGACACATGCATTATCAGACATGAGAAAAGTTCTCTGGAGTTAACCATCATGGCAGAGGTCACAGTAGACAGTGGTAAAAGATGAGTTTAGAGCTTCAAGGACCAGCTGCTTCTGGAGAACATAGTTGAGTGGGAAACACTCGACACCTCCTGGAGGAACAGCAGCCTCGTAGCCACACTCGGGGCACCACACCACCCACACTCCTGCAGAAGAGATGTTCATAATTTTTATATTTTTTAATCACTAAGCACTTATTTAATCTATAAATTATATGCATATCTAGGATTACATTATATCACTGGATCATTATATACAGAAACTATAAAGCTTACAAACAAGTTTTATGACTTGAGGTCTCATTATTATTATAATCAATTTAAGCAATAAGACCTAAGGCCTTGTCAGAGCACTGTAGGGCAGATATGCAAAAATATAAAAGTGCAAGGGTTAGGAGTGAGGGGAAGAAGTGTGCAAAGTTGGGGGTTACTGGAGGTTAGGGTTAATGGAGGTGGGAGTTAGTGCAAGAGTAGAACTGAAATTGAAGTTGGTGCAATAGGTTAGTTTGCACTAAAAGTTCAGAGAGAGAGTGCACCAAAGGTGTGACTTTCCGTGAGAAGGTCAGTGAATACACTTGACCAGTTTAGATATTAGAAATGAATCCCATGAGCACAATGATATTTAGGACAACTTTTCAAGATATGTTGAATAGACAGAGTGGCCTGATAGTCTGTACTGAGTAGTGCCGGTTGTTTATCCACGTGGTATATGTAAGTTAGTCACGTGTATCCAATACATAAGCGCAAAAGAAGTCTCCCAAGCCCAACAATGGTGGGAAGATAGCCAGAATCCTAAACCTGGTCTGATAGAAAGCAATTTGTTGTAGTTTAACGTTGTTACCAGCAGTTGCGGAGGTAGTGAGAGAGCACTGAAAAAGTAGTCTGAATAAGGAATACATTACATCTATATAAAATCAGGAGGTCCTAAATAAATTCAACTGATCGAGCAGCTGAGTCTACATATTCATTGCCCTGAGCACGGGCATATCCAGACACGCAACAAAATACGAATTCTTTGAGCTTACTAGAAATGGAATATAATCAAAGGTGTATACAAAGAACAGTGGGATGACTGAAGTCGAATTTCTGGATAGCGTCTAATACTTCGGGAGTCTGAATCTGAAGCATTGCAGACATAGTCGCAATGTGAATGGTAATGAGAATACTAGCCGAGTCTAATAAATGAAGTTGGACAAAGCTTCCTATTAAAGCTTGACAAGGCTTCACCCTAAAGGATGATAAAGATTCACCTTAAAGGATGACAAAGCTTCACCTTATAGCGTGGCCCGGTGGCCTGGTGGCTAAAGCTCCCGCTTCACACACGGAGGGCCCGGGTTCGATTCCCAGCGGGTGGAAACATTCGACACGTTTCCTTACACCTGTTGTCCTGTTCACCTAGCAGCAAATAGGTACCTGGGTGTTAGTCGACTGGTGTGGGTCGCATCCTGGGGTACAAGATTAAGGACCCCAATGGAAATAAGTTAGACAGTCCTCGATGACGCACTGACTTTCTTGGGTTATCCTGAGTGGCTAACCCTCCGGGGTTAAAAATCCGAATGAAATCTTATCTTAAGGTAGAGGCGCCTCTATGTGCGAGGGGATTGAACATCCAGCAGAAATATGTGAGCGAGTTAGATAGGAATGAATGGAGTCAAATGGTTTTCGAGAGTTGACATACTATTCAAGTGTGAGCAAGGTAACACTTTTGAAGGGCTTCAGGAAACCCTGTTAGCTGGACTTGAGTCCTGAGATGGGAACGAATCTTTCTGGACTTCCTATTCGTTTCCGCAACATTACAAGCTCCTGAAAATGTGTTGATTGCAACACGAAAGACCTTGAGCTATCACTCTGAAGGACGGGTGGGGACATTTGTAGTTTGGAGGGGTAGCATCTGCGGATGGGTCTATGAAAGATGAGGTGAATCATAGAATTGATGAGGGGAAAAGGGTGAGTGGTGCACTTAGGAGTCTGTGGAGGCAAAGAACTTTGTCCTTGGAGGCAAAGAGGGGAATGTATGAGAGTATAGTTTTACCAATGCTCTTATATGGGTGTGAAGCATGGGTGATGAATGTTGCAGCAAGGAGAAGGCTAGAGGCAGTGGAGATGTCATGTCTGAGGGCAATGTGTGGTGTGAATATAATGCAGAGAATTCGTAGTTTGGAAGTTAGGAGGAGGTGCGGGATTACCAAAACTGTTGTCCAGAGGGCTGAGGAAGGGTTGTTGAGGTGGTTCGGACATGTCGAGAGAATGGAGCGAAACAGAGTGACTTCAAGAGTGTATCAGTCTGTAGCGGAAGGAAGGCGGGGTAGGGGTCGGCCTAGGAAAGGTTGGAGGGAGGGGGTAAAGGAGGTTTTGTGTGCGAGGGGCTTGGACTTCCAGCAGGCATGCGCGAGCGTGTTTGATAGGAGTGAATGGAGACAAATGGTTTTTAATACTTGACGTGCTGTTGGAGTGTGAGCAAAGTAACATTTATGAAGGGGTTAAACCATACCCCCGGCCAGGATTGAACCCGCGGTCATAGAGTCTCAAAACTCCAGCCCTTTCGCGACGGGCTGGAGTTTTGAGACTATGACCGCGGGTTCAATCCCGGCCAGGGGTATGGTTTATTTGCAATCGTGTCATTACGATTTCTTAAGTCATGAAGGGGTTCAGGGAAACCGGCAGGCCGGACTTGAGTCCTGGAGATGGGAAGTACAGTGCCTGCACTCTGAAGGAGGGGTGTAAATGTTGCAGTTTAAAAACTGTAGTGTAAAGCACTCTTCTGGCAAGACAGTGATGGAGTGAGTTAGTTTAATATGTTTATTATGCACCCCATACCCATCCTGTGGGCGGTAGTCAAAAGATTACAGAGGTACATAATTGGTCCAGGGACTGGACTCCAAAGTTTTGATAGCCGAGCAAGTTACAGAGGTAATGAACTCACAATATACAAAGGTAATGAACTCACAATTTACAAAGGTAATGAACTCACAATTTACAAAGGTAATGAACTCACAATTTACAAAGGTAATGAACTCACAATTTACAAAGGTAATGAACTCCAGGTAGGTCTGGTCACAATCATGACAAGTTACAAAGGTATTTACAGATTACAGAGGTACGTAATGGGTCCAGGGACTGGGCCCCCAAAGTTTTGATAGCTGAACTAGGTACAAAGGTAATGAGCTCACAAGTTACAAAGGTAATGAATTCTGTAAGAATGGTTACTTACGTTTATACATGGCTACAGTCATGAACAAATGAAGTGTCCCTGTTCGCAGATGACGTGAAGTTGATGAGAAGAATTAAATCGGACGAGGATGAGGCAGGACTGCAAAGAGACCTGGAGAGGCTGGACATGTGGTCCAGTAACTGGCTTCTCAAATTCAATCCAGCCAAATGCAAAGTCATGAAGATTGGGGAGGGGCAAAGAAGACCGCAGACAGAGTATAGGCTAGGTGGACAAAGACTACAGACCTCACTCAGGGAGAAAGACCTTGGGGTGACCATTTATTTATTTTTTTATTTATTTAAAATTTGAGCACACATACAGAGGTACAAAAAATACAGATAAGAGCAGCATGCCAAAGCCACTTATACTATGCATAGCATTACGGGCTGGCTTAAAATTAACTTAAGATTAACTAAGCAATGATGAAATCAGTGATAAAACTTTAATGTAAACAGATTACTATAAAGCACAAGTGAGTATTACAAAGACAGGTCATATGGTTGTATGCATTGTTGTACATTCAGTAGAATGGAGTATTCTGTTAGGTAGTGTATTTAAAAAATAATAAAGTTAGATTGGGTTTTAGGTTTAACATTTATGTGATATAATTGTGAGAAACATTTAAGATATACAATTTATAAGGTTCAGTTATTCAGTATTTATTTGGTTTTGGGTGAGTAAGTGATCTTTGAAAAGAGACTTGAATTTATAAACAGGTAGTGTTTCTTTTATATTTACAGGTAATGAATTCCAGATTTTAGGGCCTTTTATGTGCATTGAGTTTTTGCATAGTGTGAGATGGACACGAGGAACATCAAAGAGTGATCTGTGCCTTGTGTTATGGTCATGTGTTCTGTTGAGGTTGGCAAGGAGATGTTTGAGGGGAGGGTTAATATCAGAGTTAAGTGTTCTATGTATGTAATAGGTGCAGTAATAAGTATGGATGTTTTGTATGGTGAGTAGGTTTAGTGTATTGAATATTGGTGGAGTGTGCTGCCTATAGTGAGAATTTGTTATCATTTTAACACCGAGCACATCACCGGAGGCACACATCAACCAAATAACCGCTGCAGCATACGGGCGCCTGGCAAACCTGAGAATAGCGTTCCGATACCTTAATAAGGAATCATTCAAGACACTGTACACTGTGTATGTTAGGCCCATACTGGAGTATGCAGCACCAGTCTGGAACCCACACCTGGTCAAGCACGTCAAGAAGTTAGAGAAAGTACAAAGGTTTGCAGCAAGGCTAGTCCCAGAGCTCAAGGGAATGTCGTACGAGGAAAGGTTGAGGGAAATTGGACTGACGACACTGGAGGACAGAAGGGTCAGGGGAGACATGATAACGACATACAAGATACTGCGGGGAATAGACAAGGTGGACAGAGATAGGATGTTCCAGAGAGGGGACACAGGGACAAGGGGTCACAACTGGAAGCTGAAGACTCAGACGAGTCACAGGGACGTTAGGAAGTATTTCTTCAGTCATAGAGTTGTCAGGAAGTGGAATAGCCTAGCAAGTGGAATAGCCTAGCAAGTGAAGTGGAGGCAGGAACCATACATAGTTTTAAGAAGAGGTATGACAAAGCTCAGGAAGCAGAGAGAGAGAGAGAGGATCCAGTAGCGATCAGTGAAGAGGCGGGGCCAGGAGCTGAGTCTCGACCCCTGCAACCACAATTAGGTGAGTACACACACACAGTGAATGATGGTGAAAGTTTTTCTTTTTCAGGCCACCCTGCCTTGGTGGGAATCGGCCAGTGTGACAATAAATAAATATATATATATATATATACATGTATATATCTCCATGGGGAAGTGGAATAGAATTCTTCCTCCGTAAGCCATGCGTGTTGTAAGAGGCGACTAAAATGCCGGGAGCAAGGGGCTAGTAACCTCTTCTCCTGTATATATTACTAAATGTAAAAGGAGAAACTTT